TGCGCTGTGTCCTTCGTTTGTCAGAGTGGTTTTAGTTTATGAATGATGACTAATCACAAGATCTGAAAAATTCCGAGTTCTGTTTTGATTGATGAGGCAGTTGTCTATGATACCAATAAGCCTAGTTTTAGCGACGAGGAATGGTCGTATAAAATGTAGAAAAGCCGTCCGTTTTGATGAAACTTTTCGCGATTTTAAATTTTCTAAAAGTTCTTAACTCATTTAACTCATCTGAATAACTCTATTTCTATAGTTTGCAATTTAGCATAGTTTGTCTTAAATTTTTCTATAAAAATTAAGAGCATAAATATTAAGGAGTAAATATTGTAGCTTGGTATACCATTTGCTGGGCCCAGCCACATTTCTTTGTTTATAATGAATTTCAACGTCGAAAACCCTTTTCTTTCTCCTTCACACGTGGGTCCATTCATACCACTTCGCTCGTTTCTCATAAATATTCATTCAATTTATTGTCCAGTGAAATAAGCCGTTATAGGTAAGCAGACAATTTGTTCCTGGCTTGTTTGTGATACGGTCATATAAAATGGTTTTTCTAGCCATTGTTGTGCAAGCGAGGTTAACTCTAAAATTATCACGCAAGCCACTCGACTGATCACATCATGAAACCAAAATATTAGTCTAAGAGAGTTATTCCTTAAATATTGAATTATTAAAATAGTTAACAAATTTTTTGTCATTTTCAAACTTAATTAGATATCATTACATTGAATTGAAAAGGTAAAACAATATTTTTCTATAGAGTTCACTTGTGCTATTACCATGACATGCTGCAATTATTTTTGTTGTAGAATTTTACTCTCTTGCATTGCAACAGAGTTGCTGAATGAAATAAAAATTGAAATCCTAAAACCGCATTCACTTTTAAAGACAGTTTCAATATTTAACATGGAGGCATTATTTATTTTGACAGAAAGTGTTTCTATTTGTGGGTAGTTTTGGAAGTTTGCTTGCTTTTTTGTGTATTTGTTGCTTAAAGCACTCTCGACTGTTTACTTATGTTTTGTCCTAACGAGAGAGCAGTGAGAAAATACTGCGACACTGGACCTGGGTTTTAGGGTCTCATCCCAAGGACCGGTCTCCACGTTCAGTGGGGTTCGAACCGGGACCTTGAATTGATTTAGCCTCATCCGAAGAACCAGTCTCCATGTCCCGGCGCCGCGGGTGACTTGGTGTTTGTTTGTATGTTCTTTAACGTCCCTCTCGAGAATGCTGCACTCACATGAAGACGCCGCCACTTGCCGGTGGAGAGCTGCAAATTTTGTGCTATACTCGGCACTTAGAGCCATTTAGCAGAGAGTCAGTTGCTCTACCAATTGACGTCCAAGTATCTGGCCACCTCGCGACTCTACAGCAGACGCTCTAACCACTGCGCCACGCTGGCGACAGAAATCTGATGACGTAACAGCTTCTGAATTATGGATGTCATCTCCGATAGACATTGGTAGAACAAGTCTAAAATTTTATCACACCTTTCACATTGGGAAATTTATAGAAAAATACAAATGTAAAATTATGAATTCAATTTCTTATTCTTGGGTGACCTATTGTATCCGTGTGTGTTAGGCAGTTTCAACCAAATTTGGTATACACCATCTATGGGTGAAGGGGAACAAAAATTTTGAATTTTATGGTCTGAGGTGTGGAGCCAAAACCAACAAAATTATTGTAGTCTTTAAAAATCTTCTTCTTTACTCCCGAACATCAAGCAGGCAAACTGTTGGCATGAATGTAATGAGCATTGAGTCCTCTACCAAAATTGTGAAATTCATAGCCCCAGGGCAAGGGGGTCTTATGCTAGGGCGGGGATATATAGATTATATAGTGAAAATGCATTATTTTTTTGAAAATCTTCTTCTGTGCTCTTTAACTAACAAAGTACATAATTATGTTGAGCAAGAGTGCCTCTTCCGAAATTGTTAATTTTATGGCGCCAGGGTCAGGGGTTCTGGTGTTAGGGTGGGGCTATATTGATCATATAGTGAAAATGCATTTATTCTTTGAAATTCTTCTTCTCTGCTTCTGGGTATTAAATAAATTAACTAAGCAATAGTTATGATGAGCAAGAGTGCCACTTCGAAAATTGTGAATTTTATGGCCCCAGAGTCAGGGGTTCTGGTGTTAGGGCGGGGCTCTATTGATCATATAGTAAAAATGCATTAATTCTTTGAAAATCTTCTTCTCTGCTTCTAGGTATTAAATAAACTAACTCTGTATGTAGTTATAATGAGCAAGAGTGCCTCTTCCGAAATTTTTAATTTTATGGCCCCGGGGTCAGGGGTTCTGGTGTAAGGGCGGGGCTCTATTAATTATATAGTGAAAATGCATTATTCTTTGAAACTCTTCTTCTCTGCTTCTGGGTATTAAATAAACTAAGTACATAGTTATGATGAGGAAGAGTGCCACTTCCAAAATTGTGAATTTTATGGCCCCAGGATCAGGGGTTCTGGTATTAGGGCGGGGCTCTATTGATTAAATTGTGAAAATGCATTAATTCTTTGAAAATCTTTTCCTTTGCTCCTGGGTTTTATACCAATGATCCAAGTATATATATATTTCTGATGAAGAAATGTGCATCTAGCAAAATGGTTATTTTTTTTATGCCCCCTCCCCCCTGGGTGGGTGGGGGTGGGGGGGGGTACATAGTCTGAAAATAAATTAATGCTTTGAAATCTGCTCTTTAGTATTAATCAACCATTATATGATAAAATTTGCAAAATTTTGAAATATGTGGCCCCAGGGTCAGTGGTTCCTTTGGGGTGAAGTGCACAACTGGTTATAAAGTGGAAGTGCATTTTCTCTGTTACTCTGATCTACCTCTGGGTATTAAGTAAATAGAGTAAGCATGCTAAGTTTATAATTATGATAAGCAATGGTGCCTCTTTCAAAATTGTGAATTGTGAATTTCGTGGCCTCTGGGGTAAAACATGAACCAATTTAAATTGTCTGAAAGTTGTTACACGATACTCAGGTGACCTATAAGGCCCGTGGGCCTCTTGTTATTTTTAGGTTATCCAAAGTAAATGTCTAAGTAGATTAGTGGGGGATGAACGTTCTCACGGATTTTGTTCAACTTTCGGTCAATAAGTAGAGATAAGAACCATAAAGTTAGCAGAACAAGTACATCATTAAGGCTCTCGTCTCTGTCAGATTTATTGTCCTCACTTTAAGGTTTCTGATTTTGTTTTCAGAATGTCACCTCTGAAGCTCTGTGGCTCGGAATGCATGCATACTCCTACAGTTTTGGTCCGATTTCAATGAATCTTGCCAAGAAAATGACTAAACCAATGATCAATTTTTATATTAACTTGTATATGTACATGTAGCCATAAGCTCTAAAACACAAATGTTCCACAACGAGATCATGATAAGCTGAATACTGAGTATCACTGAAAAAAAAATCTAGTAAAAGTCACTAAGAAGACTGGTAAATTTACTGTCCGTGCAATCACTACCTTAGATGTAGTTTTACTAGGTACTGGGTAGATTTACAATATAATATTAGTAAATCTAGAATTTATAAGTAACTTTACGGAGTATCTATACATCCCCTGCTTCAAGGTACACCTACTACTCATTGCCATAGCCAGTAAACAGAATGGTTACTTATCACGACGAACACACAAGTTAAATGAACTAGGTATTTCTTTTGGTGTGTGTACTCCATCTATATACAATGGCTCACGGCGGGCGAGACCGATAAAGAGGGGGTGTTTACTTTTCTAAGACATCCGATCCCATCTCTGGTGTGTGGTTTGTCCTGTTCAAAATTTTAATCTTTGTTCTAGTTTTGAGATTTTTACTTAATGTCATATTATATTCACATTTAGTTTTTGAACATATATAATTGACAATCAAAAGCAAAAGAAACATAGTTTTATCAGTTTAGAGGACTTCTAGAAATGCCGACTTTGACGGGGTATTAAAACCACTGTAACATTAACATATATGTCAGTAGCATGTCCCGGTTTCTCTGCTTAAATATAGATCGTACCTGGAGTATGCTCTTGAGTATGGCATAAGTTGGGATATTACTACAAAAGTAAGTAAGGTTGATGGAAAAGCTGAAGTCATGTCCTTCTTCATATAATTTAGTCGTTATTTAGTCCTTATCGTTAAAAGTCCTTGAAACAACCTTCACAAAAATATAAAAATGGTGGGTTTTTTTTTAATAATTTGGGGGAATCTCTTTCCAGTTGGTTATGTACTGCGGGATGTGGAGACCGGTCCTTCGGTTGAGACCGTATAAACCGAGGTCCCACAGTAAGTGCTGGCACGAAAAAGATCCCTCCCTGCTCAATGGCCCTAGGTGCCGAGTATAGGACAAAATGTGTAGTTATCCATCGGCGAGTGGTTGCGTCTCCATTTTAGTGAGAAAAAAAATCGAGAGAGGGACGTTAAACAGCATCCAAACAAACTTCTCAGCCGTTTATATTTGTTGAAATTAAATATGTCAACATTTTTTTGTGTGTGTGCTAAGAAGTTGTGCTACACGAATTTCTAATTTTATTTTAATATATTTTTAAAATTCATCTTTAATTGATGTTGAAATTTCGAATGAAAGTTTTCCCACCTTTCTACAGACTTAATTTTTTAACCGAGTCAGGAGAGGACAAACAAATATTATTTTAAAGATGTACCAATATCTAACAATATTTAACAATTATATAATAGTTGTACAAATAAAAAAAAATATCACTGAACGAGATAGCTTTGTTCCCAGTTTTTGCTCTGTTTTACAATCTCAAACTATAAATGTAGAGATTAGATATATGCACATTATGAATCCTGGTACAAATTGGTTTGTTCAGGGATTAGATGCAACTGGGGAATGGGTGTGTAACTTGTATCTTTAATAGTCAAGGTAAGTGAAGGTTTCCGTGAGACTTTTTTTAAGCTCCTGGTTAATAATATATTTCTTCATTTGTAATAATCTTGTAACTGGGGAAGTTGGTGACGATCATCCTATATAACTGTAAAGCGTCTACTTCCGGTTTATTTTTCCCTTACAATATTGCACATAGCAAGACTTCCTGCACAGAACCATCTAACTCCCTATCATCGCGGAAGTATTTGGTCAGGGAAGTCTGTTCCGTGTAGGGATTACAGCTCGGATTACAACAAAGGACTCCCACGAAGGTAAGGTTACTAAGGTATATAAGGTGTGAAGGAGTTTACTAGATTCTGTTCTTGTGTGTATTACATTTTCTTTTAACACTTTGGGTCTCGTGATTTCATTTTCATTGAGATTCTCGTGTATTTTTGGAAAAAAAAATATTAGAAGTTTGATTGAAAAGAAACCTGAGATTACGAAAACGTTATACAGATAGCCTTACAGGTTTGGATTGGGGATGGATCGGGTGTGAAGTTGATGCATTATACGTAGGATGGATTGGGTGTAGGGTTGTATGTGATGGTATATTGGAGGACTGTGCTTTACCTCTGTAACAAGCCTATTTAAAAATGAATTCAAACGAATTTTAAGTTTTTTATGTGTTTGTGGGCTGGCAGTATTCAACTGTATGATTCCTTAAACTGGCTTATCATTTTGTGTAAATATCTCAAGGGATAACAACTTCTGTAGAAGTAAGATATGATATGGTTATGTGCACATGTGCAGCCGTGCATCTCTTAAAACGCATTGTAATACTAACACATACATAATATGACGTCGCAATGCCACGCAAGCAATCAACACACACTTGTTTTAAAGCTTAATACAGGATACAGTAGCTAGATCTCCAGGTCTCTGCGTTTCATATGGCTTGGTCTGAAGAAGTTCTTTCTCCATATTTTCATGAATGCTGTCACTTGCGATCATTTAAGTTCTTTCAATGATAAATTTTCATGGAATCTTTGTTTATCAACATGCCCGTTCAATGCCTGTATTTCGTCATATTGTTTTCATTAACCATGTAACAGGATTTACATCAGTTGTGAAACACTAATCTCCACGTGTATGAGGTTGGAGGCGAGGGTTGAAAGTTCTAAAATGCAAATCAAACTCCAAAGGTCAATATTGTTGTCTTAAGGAATACACCTGTGAAAATGAAAGCCCTTGTACTAACTTTTCAAAAGTTAGGACCATTTGGTATTATATCAGTTTGGACTTTCAGTAAGGCGTGGCATTTTCGACTCTACCTAATTAGCTTTTGAAATTTACACACCTTTTCTACACTGTTGAAATATACATAGGATAGAATTTCGGTCGAATGTCAACTGGTGTAGTAAATAGCCAATTAAAAGTTCTCTCATGGCACAGAGGTGGGGCATAAGTCGTCTCATCGTTGTCAACAACAATTTAAAGTTCCTGATGTTATTAATTTCTTAACCAATGAGAATCAATACGTCTAGTATTCGCCATTACGTAGCGCCGAGAATGCCACGCCCTACTGAAAGTCCAAACTAAGGCGATAATGGTCCTAGGACTAAGGTTAAAGTTTTATTAAAAAGTGGGCCAAACTCTTAGGCTAAGGTCAAAATTATTTATACCCACTGAAACGTCTTGTAGCAATGAATACGCATGTGAAAGACCTAGCACCACCTGTCAAAAAGTAATGGCTAAGGTTAAAGTTTGGAAATTTTTGGTAAAATTGGTCAAACTCCGAGGTCAAGAGGTCAGATTGAGTTATACCCGAAGAAGGGTCTTGTCACATCTGTGAAATAAAAGACATAGCTCCACCCTTTTAAAAGTGATGGACAAGGTTAAGTTTTTGCGTACAAATAGACAGCTAGACGGGCAGGGCAAAACCTATATGCCCTCGATTTTTAGCTCTACTGGTCAGAGACCAGAAGAGCTTATGCGATAGTAATGCGTCCGTCCGTCTGTCCGTCTGTAAACAATATTTTTCAAAATGCTACTCCTCCTACAGTTTTGGTCTGATTTCAATATAACTTGGCACACAAGTAGACTACACTAAGATACATAATTCTGTGTATCGGTTTTTGATTTTGATGGGCGGTGTTGCAGTTTTAGTCTGATTTTATTATAATAATTTATTGCTGTTTTAAAGTTTCAATTCCCATCTGCTTATAAGTACTTTTCTCTTCCTTTGCTACAAGTACAAATCAGTAGAGCTTCAGTCTCGACAGAGACTTCTGGTTTTATTATGGGACCATGTATAAATGTACGACTAAATCATTCTAGCTTTCTGAACATTATATTTGTCAGTATATCAACAAACAACATGTTGAGCAAATGTGTATAAGAAACATTGACATTCCACGAAACTACTATAATGTTTTACCATGAATATTTCTTTAAGAGCATGCAGAGGAGATAAAAGTATCAGTGTAATAGCGCGGAGATGTGTATTAACCAGTTAAGGTGAGATAGCGAGAAACCTGTGAGTGTTATACGGAGACTTTTTCATGCCTGTTTTGTCATTTCAAGAACAATCCTTTGAAAAAAAAAAAAAAACAGATTTTAAAAATAGAAAATGCTTCGCTTAATCAAAACAACAAATCTCCATAAATATCCTATGGACGGGATCTAGCGTGTGAAGCGTGACAATGCGTGTGTAATGTTGTTTAATGTTTTAATGTAGCCTGACAGGATGTTGTTTGGAGCTTATACAAATGACTGTAACGGGACACCATATAAAATAAGATAACCAGGCGGTATCTCACAGAGAAACCATTCATACCTATTTATTGTGGTCTTTTAAATGTTTATCAACACATTTAACTGGAATTATTTACATTCTACAGAACTTTAGTTTTATTATGAGTATGTGTTTCGTTTGTTAAATGAATGGAAAATTACTAATGTGAATTAATTTTTCTTAGTATGGTAAGTTGATATTTTTTTATTTGAAATTTTATAAAATGATTAATTATCCTTAAATGTGTACATTCATTCTCTATATCATTTGTTTAAGAAATCAAACAAATTATTAAATCTGTAAAGAAAATGAAACTTTAAAAGTATGGATACCATAATAATAAAATCCATTATTAATTAAGGTTTCCTTTTTCATTTAAAAACCGTAAGAAAAAAAAAAAGATTCTCCCTGAGCCCCTGTAAAACATTGATAAGGATTTAATTAGAACACGCGTACAAGGACAATATCGATCTGACGGCGTGTCGTACACAGCACACTAAGTGGACACTGTAAAATTGGTCTAGTGCTAATTGTTCAACGTTCGGCATTAACGCCTAAATCCGGATTCTGTCAAATTGCTACTATATACCAGTTAGTCATAATCTTGCCTTTTCATTTCAATCACAGATAAGTATTTTCAAGCAACATACATAATAAATAGACAGCAATAGAGGAAGAATCCCCTGCATTACCTCGTAAACTGAAGGACAAAGAGCTGTTCGATAGAACAGATCAAGGGGTATTAACGTAGATAAACTTATCCGACAAAATGTGATGCACCCCGAAAACGTTCCTTGGTATTCGAATCAAAACATGCCATTGGCTATTTCATGTAATCTTCCCAACTATATACATGTACCTTAGCTATCTTTTGATGCAGGTGTGGTACATTGTCTTTGATTACATGGAACACGGGTTGGTCCAGTAAGAAATACCCCTGTGTCAATAGAGCGTAGCTTTATATACGAGGGCTGTCCGTAAAGTTCGTGGACAACATTGATACTTACTGACAAACATTGACAAAATATATAAAACTATTATTTTCATCAAATTCGTGTTTCATTTTATAAATATGCAAGTTTTCAACAAAAAAAAAGCACAAAAAGTTTTATTTTTATCAGATTCAAAAAAGACACACACTCATACCTGGAGCACTAAAACGAAAATTCCTGACGTTACCCGACGTCAAAAGCTAAATACGAGCACATGTAACTTTTCTCAACATAGTCAGCGTTTAACTCATTAATTGCTTATGTCGTTTTGACAAGTCATAAAAATATGCACAAAATGTTCAGGTTTCATTCGTAAAATAATATTTAACAATGCCTGTCTCATAAATTCTGCAATCATCCAACCACTGTCCGTGTAAAGACGATTTTATTTACGTAAATACGGAAAAGTCATGATCACGTTACGAAATTCGTTTTTTACAGCACTGCAATCTCGGAATGATGGTTTTCCTTCACGCATGTCATCCTGTAAACTATTCATTCCGTCCGAAAATATTATATGCCACTTAAATACTAATGTACGGCTTCTTTTACTATGTTTTCACGATTGTTTACAGAATGTATTGGTCTCCGTAGGTGTTTTTCCGATGTTTACGCAGAATTTTATCACTGTTCACTGCTCCATCTATTCCGGAAACGTATCTTTTTTTTTAACAATTCCAATCCTGTCTTTATATGTTCTAACTTTGAATACTTAGCCGTTTTGAAACTTTGAACGTTCAAATTTTGCAGGTTTGAGGTGATAAGTTCTGTCAACCTCATAATGTAAAATTCTCTCAAATTTCTCAAGAATTTTATAAAAAACGAATGAATTTACAAAGTGATAAATATTTTTTTCAATTAAAATTTTGCGGTGCTCCGGGTCTGCATCCCAAGTATAATTATGAACCCATAATTGTAATTAAACAATTGAAATTGAATAAATTTTTACATTTTTCAATTCACATTTAGTAAAGGATTACAAATATGCCAATAATAAATATCAATGACACAACTTTTATTAAATTTCAAGCTTGTTCACGAACTTTACGGACAACCCTCGTAGATAGTATTACAGTCTGACATCTCCCTTGCTATCCCTTTGTTGTGTCATTATTACAGATCACAGCTATCCCACACAATGTCCTATACAATAAAATATTTAACGACTGGTCATTTATAAAACTCTATTATACCTACATGTACAGTCTCATAGTTACCTGTCAAACAGTACCATAATGACATTTTAATCCTTATCTATTAAGTACTGGCCTCTGTTTCAGAAAATAGTACTATTGTCACAAAAGAAGACCAGAAAGTTTTACTTGTTAAATTCTTGCTGTTAAAGTTGTGTGTAGAGGTTGTCGATCAATGGTTTGTTCTGCTATGTCCACTGACAGAGCACTGTTATAGCATTATTTATGGCGACCACCATTGATCCCCGCCTTACTCGACATTCTGAAATGATGACACATGAACGCAGGTTCCCGTCAGTGTCTGATCGTACATAGTATATTGATCACAAGGGAGAGGAAGTTGAGAGTTTTCACAGGTAAGTGTGTGAATTGTGTGGTACAGTTCTGATTTGTGATTTGAGCAGGGTTTTCCTTGTATGGATTAATGAATGAATGGGAGAAATCTGGACCGCCGTATGTTTTGAAGTCCCTTGTGGAAAGAGGCTGACCTTAATACAGTCACGTGTCTGATGTTTTTCTTTACTATTTGTCAGTGGGTAAGATTTTTAAGGTATTTTATGGTATTTCTACCACACCTTTCAAATGTTCTACATCGGACTTGAATAATTTCAGAATTTCCCCCCCCCCCAAAAAAAAGGACATAAATTAGAAGCTAACGTTAGAGATTTGATCTGACTCACAACACCTGTACTGTTATAGTAATAGATGCAAGCAGGTGTTTGAAATTAACTTGAATTTTCGTCGACCTGGATGTAGACTGTATCATGGTCTTGTAATAGAAATGAACTGATTTCGTGTTTTATACTTCATGGCACGTGCTATATATAGTATACACGTGGGTTAATGCCATTTTACTAATTGTTCTGTTTTACATACTTTGAACTTCCCTAACGAACGTAAAGCGACTTACTCCGACAGTCACAAAGATGTTTCCTTATTTAACAACGTCAATATGTGTGCTGTACTTTATTTGAAGCGTTTTAAAAGATGTGTCACCTGCTAATGAACGCCGATAATTACTGATAATTAACGGAACACGTGACATTCCAGATATTGCATTGCTAGGGGAATCAGGAAGGTGCTTGATAAACTCCGTCCACGCCCAATACCCCAAGTACTGATAAAGGAGATTGATGGTGAATTAAAGTTGATTACATTCAATTAGTTATCCGTTTTTAAAGGTCTTATTTCTTAAATTTATTATAACTTGATTGCATAGTTTAAATAGTTATGCTGAAAGCATTGTTTGCACTATAGGTGTTGACATTTCTACACAAGTCTTATATTGTGCAATATGTTTTTCTAGCCATAAGCAATAAGGCAATGATAGATCTCGATCTATGATAGAATGATCAGGTTTTCCCACTCAGTTTCCCTGTCGTCTCATATTCCTCCGCGGTGAGATCCGGTTGACTGTTTGTTCTGTTTTTAAGTTGAAATCCAGCGTCCAATTGCACTATTTCTTTTTCTATCCTACTTGATTAATACAAGCTGTCATTCAAAAATCTCCGAATGCATATTGCACTCTTATCAGACAGCAGTTTAAGCTGATATTTCTAACAATCAAAGAATTTAATTTTGTCATGATTTATTATGAGATTAATGTAAAGCATTTAATGGATAAAATCTGACATCAATTCATTGCATGTGATTTACTTTTTTTTAAATATCAAAAGAGGTGCACTTTTATAAATGATAAATCGATATTAATGCGAAACTGAAGAAGATACTGAAAAATGATCAATATCAACATTCTTAAAAACGACACTAATCGGTGAACAGGGCATATAACATGGACCCCTGGGAATTTCCATGAAGGAGTAAGTTTCCGCTGTCGACTGCTCATTGTCGTAGTGAACTCTTTGTGTTGATCAGGCCAAGAACAACCTGAACATTTTGGCACTCAATTTTAAAAAAAAAAATAATGGCCCAGTAGTAGGTATTACACATGTCAGTAAAAATACCACCCAGTGATAGGTGCAAACAATATCAAAATACTAATATATATAGACCATATTCATTTTGAAACGATGACTTCCAAAGTGATTTTCGAAATCCCTTCATCATCAAATTGTCAGTAGCCTTTTTCAGTTTAAAATTAATTGGTTGTATTCAGATTATACTCTTGCTTATCAAATTAACTTTAATGAAGGATATGGAGATAACGAACAGTATTCAATATCAAAGTCCATAAAATGAAGATGATAATGAAATATTACTGCATAAATTAGGAGAGATTACATCATATGCATGTACAGTGTAGTTGTCATAGTTTGCCGTTATCGTCTGCAGTCAGTTAAACACGTAGATGTGAATTGTTCTGACAGATCAATCATGTCCTGCATTTCGAGTTCAACGGCATATATCAAATATACTAGTAACTTGTTAGGTTACAAAACGTCGTTGACATAAGTATCGTCGAGTTGAAGGTCACAAATAGTCTAGGAGTGTTCATGAAAAAGATTTTGAATACTGGACACCAAACAGGTTGGCTAATATAGGAGCACACTTTGTTTCTACTGGAATTCAAAAGATTGTTATAAGGCATTGTTTCCAAAGACTACATTTATATGCCTTTGAGGAATTAGAGCATCCTTGGATGTCAGTTCATAGAGATTCTGTGTAGATTCAGATTGATTTCCAACAAAACTTTAGGTGACAAATTGCAAGATATGGAATTTCTGAGGGGGGGGGGGGGTAGATGTAGCTCATCTTGACAAGATGACATAAATTGGCGTCCCAAACTAATTTTTGTGCAGATTCCTACGCACATTATTGCACTTAGGTACTTGGTCTTTATGTTTCATTGTACTGGCCAGGTTTCAAATGCTACGTTTTCAAGAAATATTTTCCATAAGAATAGCCAGGTAAACGTTTAGGTATTTTAGGTAATTCTCAATTAACTAAGCCCTATTGTTTTATATACATACTACTTTAAACTTTGAATGCTGGATCTAAAGTTTCTTTTCAAAATTAATAAAGAGAATATGATGTTGAAGATCCATTCTATTTCATATATAAGCTCATGTTGAGTGTTTTATTACATACAACCTCGCTAGCGTCGAATGCTGGATGAAAAAGAAAGAGTGGTTAGAAAGTTGCTTTGGAGGCGCGGAATAAGTTTATGATTGCGTCGCGGGTTCGAGGGACGTGGGGACTGGTCCTTCGAATGAGACCGTATAAACCGAGGTCCCGAGTCGTAGTAGGTGCTGAGTGGCAAGTATAGGTCTATAATTTGCAGTCCTCCACAAACAGGTGGTGTCATTTATTACTTCCTGATTTCATACCGAGTAAATTGATCTTACATATTTCTGAAGAGAGGGGGGGGGGGGGGAGGTATTATATTTATTTGACTGCCTGGAACATTTTCACAAGAAATAAATGATTTTATATTTGTGCTGTTCGGGTAAAGCAGTTGTAAAGCTCTTGTCTCGTGTGAAAAACTATTATCCCCTATTAGCGCCTATAATTTCACGAGGATCGGTAGGTTATTGACGATCTATAGGCTACATGCCAGCAGTTCTTACGCAATATGTGGACACAATCAATATACGGTAAACATTAACCTGGTAAAAAACAATATTGATCCACATCATAAGGGGGTCAGTGTACTCTTACCAGCTGGGGCAAAGACGGATAGAAGTATTTCTCCCGTATATTGCATTTAACAACGTGAAAGCAAATACGTAATGAGGTTATTTCTAGATGTGTACAATTTTTGGTCTTTAATTAATATACCTGTAGGGACTGCGATACATTCAGTCATTAACAACCACCCTGTGACACGTTCTTTTACTCAGTGGCTGCTACATTGAATACTTTCTTGCAGCCACTGTTTACATATTTTACATTTTGTTTATCATTGGAAAATCAATTTACAGATATTAATAGATGACTTTATTGATATCTACTCTTTGAACATTGCAGTCTGACACATATGTTTCATATTTGGATATTTTACTTGAAAAAGACGTTAATGGTAATCTGACAAACAAGCTCTATGATAAACGTGATGACTTTAACTTTTCTAACGTCAACTTCCCTTACTTATTGCAGCAATATATCTTCATCACCTGCATATGGAATTTATATAATTCTCAGTTGAATCGATACGCAAGAGCATACTCTACGTATGTACAATTTCTAAAAGGAGGAAAACTATTGACAAACAAGTTGATGAAACAAGAATATCATTCAGTCTCTTTTAAAGTCATCATTTTGTAAGTTATATCGTCGATACAATGGCCTTGTCAGCAAGTACAATTTATCATTGTGTCAAATGCTGACTGACGTTTGTCATACTAATTGTTAGTCCATTATTTATACACTGAATTGACGATGGATTTTTCCGTTGTTTCACGATCATGACAAGAAGCACACTGTAGGTGTGACCGGTCAGCAGGGGATGCTCACTCCTCCATGGTACCTGATCCCACCTTTGATGTTTTGGAGGTCCGTGTTTGCTCTGCTCCTATTTGTATTGTTTTATGGACTTTTGATCTTGATTGCTGTTTGTTATTACCATATGTTTCATCCTTTTACAGATGTGAAATGAAACACCTGTTTCCGGTCTGAGAATAGTGACGTTATCAACAGATGCAGCTTCCTGTATGGACCGGAAGGAAGGAACGACATGGAATTGTACACACCGAGCTTATGGAGCAAAAGGTAAAAGGAGTCAGCATACACAAATGGGAAATAAAAATGTAATTTTAACTAAGGTGTTTCATGTTACTGATTCAGTAGCTGAGCAGTTGGTCAAAGCAAAAGCAAGCTCTGTGTAAAGTAATCTTTGACAGATACATAAAATTTCCCCTAGATTATTGTGATGCGTTGATATTTTCCTTCCTTGTTCTACTGACGACTGAGACGTTGAAGTTAGTATGCTCAACCAGTACAAAATTGTATAGCATGGAGAGACAATATCACTTGAAGAGGTGTTGGATTTGATTGAATTTTTCTACAGGTTTTCATATTGCTTTCCCTCCGGTTATTACACACAATAGGGACATATATAGGGAGCTGTAGATATTGTATATCCCTTGTTATTAACGATCTATTTGATGTAATAGAATCCAGTTTAACATTAAGGCCAGCAAGGAAAAGGACTGATGAATGAATTGACACGCCTTCCTTTTGATTTACCTAAAATTATTCAATCGGATAAAAATGCATTAAGATACATGTATGCAACTAAAGGAACAGTTTTTATTCTCTTTGATAATTAGTAAAATAAAGCATTGATGACACCTATACGTATTGTGATTGTGAAAAGGTCATGGTTATTTGTATTTACAACTGTTTATTTATTGACTACCTGCCCTGGCAAACTTAAAAATGAAATAAAGTGGAACATGCATCTTAACTGTTTTCTGTGTTTAATAAATTTATGAACTGCCACTCTTTTTTATAAGCTTATTTTATTTCAGACAGTCGAAGGCTTCTGTGATTAAGAGCGTGCTGTCTATTTACTTCCGGAGTCCAAAGCGAGCTCTCCTGTTGACCCTCCTCCTCTTCTCCGTCATTCTAATACTCAGCCAGGTATGGGGGATCATGGGACCTCAGAAGTTCGTCTACAAGTGTTTCGAGGATTATGGGTATCCTCTGAATAAGACTGTTGTAAACCCGCATCCCTACAGATACATAACTAATGTGTCTTCAACGTGTAAAAATATTCCGGAAGTTTACGTCATAACCCTCGTCAAATCCGCAGCGGGAAATTTTAAACAGAGGCATTATATACGAAGTACTTGGGGAATTGACGCCAAGAAGAGAAATCTTAGACTGGTTTTCCTTCTCGGATACAATAAAGAGAACCAGTTTATGGTGGAATATGAACGAAACATGCATGGCGACATCGTTCAGCAGGATTTCCAAGAAAATTATTATAATAACACAGTTAAGGTTACAATGGCGCTACACTGGGTTAGTACCTTCTGTAAAAATGCCAAATATATCCAGATAGTTGACGACGACATGTTTCTTAACTTTCAAAACGCTCTAGGATTCCTTGAGGAAAAAAAGGAGAGTGCTCGATTTCATCTGTATGCGGGCTATCACATCCGGGAACCCATACCAGACCGGAACATTAAATCTAAGTGGTACATACCTCACAACCATTACTCCTTTGACTGTTTCCCATCATACATAGCGGGGGGATACGTCCTCATGAACTTTCGAACTGTCTTAGCATTCCAGAAAATCATTCCGTATATTCCAAGTCTCCCCTTTGATGATGTATATTTTGGCATTGTTTCTCAAAAACTGTCAATAATTCCGTCCCATATAAATAATTTGGATGTGAGCAGAATACAGGCATCACGGGAGAAAATCAAGTGCCTTATAGCTTTACATGACTATAAATCTCTCAGAGATTTTATGTATGCTTACAACGTTACGCATAATAGATTTTTAGAAGGAAGATGACAAAAAGTTTCATTAGATATTGAGTTAATTACATTGAAAAGTATATGGGAGGGAGGGAAGGATTGTACGTACATGTTATAAATTTGGACTTCTTCTTTCGGCGGGGGGGGGGGGGGGGGTCCTGGAGAGGTACGACAGATGGGAAGCTTTTTGATCAAATTTTTTGGGGTCTATTTTCGTTGTGTATATATACAACTTAACCCTTTCATTTAATTCTACTTATTTGCAAACATTATCCATATTTTTTGGGAAGTAAATTTGAATTAAAATTTAGTTACACTTTTTAAATGAAATGGCTATTGTATTGTCTAAGAATAAATCTACATTACCTTTCGGTTTCAGAAGCCAAGAACTGAAATCAGAATGGGAAGTAACAATGCTAGTACCTCGAGCAAAGTTAAAAGTTATGTACAATTTTTTTAATGAAATACTTGCAGGTGCAGTCTAGTCATTTTTGATAACTTTACAGAAAAAAATATCTATGAGATCACACAGCACAGATGAACATTGTGTTGCAGCAGGGGTCCCGGTTGTTAATTAATTTTTAAAATAGATTTTTGATCAGCATAGTTTGATCTCAGCTGGTGGACTTTGAAATTAAGAAAGTGAATGTACTTTTTATACATATTATTTTTATACTTATAACTTTTTACTCACTTGAGATTGTTAATGTTCCTCGATGACAATATGACGGGAGACAAACAACGACATTTAATAATAAGACCCAATTAGGTCGCTCTTAAACTTCTGTATTTGTATCATTATTATTTTTTAAAAACAATTTTACATATTCGTTGATTTTTTTTTTTTACCTTATGCGTTCATAATTTGGCAGTCATAAAATAATGATAAAATGCGACCCACATTTTCCAAGCTGGGTAGGTACATAGGTAATTTTTTTTTTTTTGTTAAATTTTGTAACAAACTGATAATCGTTATTAAAATCAGACTCTATTCTAATTTCATTTTTTTTCTAATTTTATATTAAATGATGTAATAGTTTATACAGGTAAACTATTTCAAACACTTTCAATTTGGAAAGCGTCTTTGAAAACTGATAAAATCCGACCCACACTTTCCATATCTTCGCTAGCCAAAGGTTTCCGATCCGAAATCTGTTGTAGAGTAGATTTCGGATCGGAAACCCTTGGCTAGCGAAGATGCCCTTTCCAAGGTGGGTAGGTACATAGGTAATTCTTTTTTTATTTTTTGGTTAGATTTTGTAACAAACTGATAATCGATATTAAAATCAGACTCTATTCTAATTTCATTTTTGAATTTTAGAATTTTTTAACAATTTTATTTTAAAATTTTAAATTAAAAAAAAATATACAGATAAACTCTTTCAAACACTTTCAATTTGGAAAGCGTCTTTGAAAACTGATAAATCTGAATCTAAATTCTCAGCGCATTTTCGCTATTTTTTTATTTCAATCAAAAGATCTGTCCTTCGTGTGCCTCTTACAAGATTTCATGATGGGTCTTTATTTCAGTGAAACTATATTCTCCTGTTTAATGAGAAATACACAGTATGTTGATTACTTCCACTATCTATTAATCATCAGACGATTCTACTAATTATGTATCCTTACTAATGTGATTGACCAATGTAATTGCTTTCAACAATCAATGTGCAATAAATTTTTATAACTTGCTTTGTTGTTAAACTTGACGTGCCAAAAGAGTTTGAATAGAACGGAACTGAGAAATTCAGAGACTTTTGTATATATTAACTAACTTGTACAATTTCCTTTTCCATTTCAATTTGTCCAGGTTGTAATAATTTTTTACATGTTTATTACGTGGATTTTGTATAAAGAATTACCGTTTGCACCTGTAATTAGAAATCTACTGTTCACAGAAGAGTTCTAATACACGTATAGTCTTGTCCCTGGATTCCCGGCACATAGTGAAGTGCAAGGTCTATCCTCTGATAATGATATGAAATATATGTCCATTAGATTTGAATTCTACAGTAAATGACATCATTTGAAAATAATTAGAAAGACTCGGTATTCGTTACGTTATAAATATTAGGCATTATTGGATTTGTGTAAGAGGATTTTCACGGCTATTTGTACAATGATGTAAAATCCACCTGTGATGTCATTCTTTTGTTTGAGCGCTCCATTACTTTTAAGGAATGGAGAGTTGTAACTTACATTGAAAACGGAATTTGTTATGGTCTTATTCTCCTTTCCGTGCCTCTATCAAAGAGAGAACTTAAAAAATTTATCATGTATTGTATAAGTTCTGGACCAAAATTTTCACGGTTATGTTCGATATATAATTTACCGTGAAAATTTTGGTCCAGAACTTATACAAGATGAGCATAAGTATTTTCTATAGTTCACTGCTATTATTTGCAATAGTAATAAAAGCTTTTGATTACATTATAACCGACATATTTCCTATCAGTTGATAAGCTGAATACTGAGTACACTGAAAAAAAAAATCTAGTAAAAGCTTTCGACCTTGGCCACAACTTTTGAACAGTAGATACTATAGGACTTTCATATTTCACACATATATTCTTTGTGACAAGACCTTTCATTTGATATCAACAACCTTGACCTTTTGACCTTGGAGATTTTTCTTACTTATAAAAAACTTTAACCTTGACCATAACGTTTGAATGGTAAGGGCTAGGGCTTTCATACTTCAAATATGTAATCCTTGTGAGAAGTCTTTTCATTGGTGAGAAGTCTTTTGATTGGACACCAAGAACTTTAACTCTTTGACCTTGGAGTTCAGTGATGATTTCTAGATAAATGACATATGATAGGGTGTTCATATTACACACAATATGTCATAAAAAAAATGACATCTCACCCGCAAAGATACCGCAAGCGGGGGATCGCAATTCCTTGAATTTGCTTGTATATTTTTAGCTCTACTGGTCAGAGACCAGAAGAGCTTATGCGATAGTAATGCGTTCGTCTGTCTGTCTTTAAACAATTTTTCAAAATGCTACTCCTCCTAAAGTTTTGGTCTGATTTCAGTATAACTCCACACACAAGTAGACTACACTAAGATACATAATTCTTACTTATCGGTTTTTAATTTCGATGAATGGTGTTGCCATGGTAACTAAAAATAGAAATTTTTGTAAAATACTGTTAAAATGCTACTCCTCCTACAGTTTTGGTCTGATTTCACTATAACTTCACACACACGTAGACTACACTAAGATACGTAATTCTTTATATCGGTTTTTAATTTCGATGATAAATTTTACGGTTAATCCGTAGTCAAAACTATTAATATGAATATTAAAAGCCTAAAAATGTAAACTATTCATATGTGATTTTCTAGTCTAGGTTGGATTCTGCGTGTACCAAGGATTCATTATCAGGACAAAATGTTAAGGACATTAAGCACACGGATATTTTTTAGCTAATTCATAAGATACACAGCAATTTAAATCCCATTAATTTATAGGGTTAATGAGAAAATTAAAATATTTACGGTTAGATCTTAACCCTAACAAAAAAAATACTTTTGTTTACTGTATTAACTATAGTAAATCAAAGTTCCAAGGTTTTCACTAAAGTAAATCAAAGTTCAAAAGTTTTCACTATATTATAGTAACTCAAATCTCCAACGTGTTTACTATATATATAGTAAATTATAGTTCCAAAGTTTTCATTATAGTAAATCAAAGTTCCAAAGTTGTCGCCAAAGTAAATCAAAGTTCAAAAGTTTTCACGATAGTTAATCAAAGTTCAAAAGGTTTCCCTAAATTTTATTAATTTTTTTCATCAGTTTAACAACCTACGTATTTTTATTTTATTTTTGATTATTTAACCGTTTTTAGGGGGTGGTTATGGGGTTGGTTGGGGCTAGTTCTTGCTGCACTTCTTAATTTATGCAAAGTAGTTAATTCAAATGCAATATTTACATTTTCTAAAATAAGAAAATGTTGACGAAGTAGATACTTTGATTCTAAATGACGCAAATGTTATTTTATAGTACAAGTATTTTTTTTCTCCATAAATAAGACTTACGTAACAACTGCCTAACATTAAAATTAGATTTTTAAGAAAATATTGCTTATTTCTTAGCGAAAGAGACAATCTTTACATTAAAATTCATTTCTTGTATACCTTATTCTTTAAAGGGAAGGATCGGATTTTTCTAAAAAGTTTTTTTTATGAATCTTAAACTTGAAATGTAAAATTTAAAGAACGGGAATCAGAAACACACTTCCACGGGTGTATTGTTCTTAACCAAAGTTCCAAAGTTTTACTATAGTAAATCAACGTTCCAAAGTTTTTACTATAGTAAATCAAAGTTCCAATTTTTTTACTTTGGTACTAAATAGTTAACTATAGTAAACTATTGTATTTTTTGGTTAAAGTTTGCTTTAGTCCGAGACCCCACCCCCATCCACCACCCCATTATGTTTTGAGCATAGAGAGTTTTCTCTATTTCCTATTTCCACAACTAAAACGATAATCATAATAAATTAGACTTCATTTTAATTTGGACTCATTAATAATTGCGTTGTGAGTTATCGAACAGAAAAATAATCCTTCACTTCAAACAGTATGACATTATTTTACCATTCTAAGCGGGGAGAATCAGACCTCGCCACGAAATGTGTGATTTCAGATTTAATTATAATCACAAACAAGTATTTAATGTGACTGTCAACTCAACCCAAAAGCCGAAAACTTTCTTTAAATGTCTGGAAACAATTTCTTGAAATGTCTGAAAACAAAAACGTAAATATTTTACCCGCGGTTGTCCTTGGACAGCTTTGAAAATCAAAAGTACTTTAAAAATAATCCCGTATAAGGTTTATGTATGGATTAGGGTAGCCTTTCTACCCCGCATTAAATACTTTTCTACATGTATCGACTACACGAGAGTGAAATTTGGGCGCTCCAATTGATGGTATGTCCACCTGTAGTCGTCAAAATGTGATACTTTCTTCCTCCCGATCTCCCCTGTTCTCAGTGAGCGTGATAGTGGAACATTGAAATCTGTGTCTCTATACGACAGTAATGATTTAGATGGAAACAGTGTATCCTGATTGTGTAGCATGACCCCGTCCAAATAATGCTTCGGATGGAAACAGTGTATCCCGAATGCGGAGTATGACCCCATCCAATGCCCCCCTCATCAAATGCCACAGACTGCCTGGACAGGAAGAATGTCATGGAATCGTACTCAAAAAGCTTTTTGAACAAAGGGTAAATCATTATTAATGTTTCAATACTTTCTCATTTTCTTCGGTGAATACATGTAATACGCACAATTTTGAGAATAATGGGGCCAAGATCCTCTGCAGCTTTTTTTCAAGATAAATGAGAAACATAGCTATGAGGCGTCGTTTTGGTTTTTATTGCCATTTAGTGATATAACCAATTCGATTAAGTGAAACCACTCATTCAAATTCAATATTTGATATCACCTATTTGAAAAGGTGATATCACTTATTCAAATGGGAGATATCACTTTTTCGAATTGATAATATCACCTATATGGAAATGAATATGTGATATCACCTATTCGAATACTAATAGGTGATATCACTTTTTCGTATTCGAAAAATTCCATTGTCTCCAGAGTTATAAAACGAAAGTGAAAGTAAATGAGACCTTCCTTTAGCCTTGGGAGCAGTCTTTATTTCATAAATAATTTAAATAGGTGAAATCACCTTTTCGTATAGGTGATATCACTTTTTGGCAGTAAATATCAAAACGGCGCCTCATAGAAACCGATCAAAGAAAGACTGAATGATTTTTTAGATCGATCACTGTTATCTTCATCTTCATGTCAAAAACAGAATTCATGGAGTGAGGTGTAATTTTAAATTTCTTCGAAATCAGTTGTTGGTGAACCCTAGCTATATCATAAATTAATCGAATAACCTGCCTCCGAGTGGACAATTGTTCCTTGTATATCAAGCACGATGGTCTTGTTTGTAATTAAATGCATTTACAATGCTTTAAGTATATATATATATAGTCTTTAATTATCACATATTATTCATATCTTTGTTCAGCTAGATTCACTAAACTTGCCAAGTTCAAAAACTTCTTCAAGAACATTGAATTCAAGTGTCAGAATTCTCACGTAATTTACTACACTTACAAGTGCTGAGCTATAGCAGTCGGTTCAATCAAGAGCTCATAAAATTGCCAACTCTCAAGATATCCCTTTTTTGTTGTTCTTTTCAGACAGCGGAAGACCTCTGTTGTAAACAGTGTGCTGTCATCTTACTTCCGGACTCCGAGGCGAGCCCTGTTGTTGTCCTTTACTTTCTTTCCGGTTCTATTACTACTGGCGCAGATAAGTGTGGTTCTGTTCGGGTCCCATAAGTTCGTCTACAAGTGTAACGAGGATTATGGGTATCCTCTGAATAAGACTGTTGTAAACCCGCATCCCTACAGATACATATCAAACGTGTCTTCAACGTGTAAAAATATTCCGGAAGTTTACGTCATTACCCTCGTCAAATCAGCAGCGGGAAATTTTAAACAGAGACATTTTATACGAAGTACTTGGGGAATCGACGCCAAGAAGAGAAATCTTAGACTGGTTTTTCTTCTGGGATACAATAAAGAGAATCAGTATAAAGTTGAATATGAACAGAACATGCATGGCGACATCCTTCAACAAGATTTCCATGAAAGTTACTATAACAACACAATCAAAGTAACCATGGCGCTTAACTGGATTAGTACCTTCTGCATTAATGCCAGATACGTTCAGATAGTTGATGATGATATGTTTCTTAATATTCAAAACGCCCTGGATTTTCTTCAGGACAAGACCCAAAGTGTTCGATATTATTTCTATGCGGGTTATCGGATACGTGACCCAATACTAGAACGAGACATCCAATCCAAGTGGTACATACCTCAAACCTATTACTCCTTTGACTGTTTCCCATCATACATAGCGGGGGGATATGTCCTCCTGAACATAAGAACTATCATTGCATTCCAGAAAATCATTCCACACATTCCCAGTTTGCCCTTTGATGATGTATATTTCGGCATTATATCACAGAAACTCTCAATAACACCGTTTCATATAAAGACTTTGGATGTGAGCAGAACCCCAATGTCACGTGATCGAATTAAGTATCTAATAGCCTTACATGACTATAAATCACTAGAGGATTTTTTGTATGCTTACAGTGTAATACACAATATATTTTAAAAAGGAAAATTAGAAAAGTTGTCATTAAATATACATGTAATTGTTAAATTATTTTCATAATATGAGAGACGATAATTTTCAGGCTGTAATTTTTTCTAAGGAAGGGGTATGTCCTTTCCCCTTGAGCTTAATTTACTTTTTATATACTTTGGTAAGGTCTCTTTGAAATAAAATGAAAACGGATATGTGTCTCATAGTCCGTTATTTTATTGTAGACCTTCAATTTACTTTATTTATAATCTTCTCGGTCTTCAATGCTTAATTGATTTATTGAAACGGTTTAAGGTAACCAGCAGCCAGTAATCTCACAAACCTTTAAACTGTAAAATGTATGATCAAGGCAAAATCAAAGACCGGTGTCAGCTGGTCACCCCCGCCAGTGGCACGGCTAATCCTGGCACACGGTTAATCCGTAGTCAAAACTAATAATATAAATATTAAAAGCCTAAAAATGTAAACTATTCATATAAGTCAAATTCAGACCAAACCATACTTTTTTATGTAAACAAAGATTATTATAACGATTTAATACATTTCGATATGATGAATTTTATTGAAACTCTTTATAGCACTGAAGTATCAACTTATGTATCAGCAGCTAAGTTTATCAACCATCAATTCTACTCACAAAATGATTTATAGTATGAGAAGCAGTTGAGAGACAACGATCATATGCAGATGGCAATGGAATACTTAAAGGCATTCTTTTTCTAACCTACAATTTAGTTAAATTTTTAATGTTCTATTGGCATCGATATTCGGTAAAATATCTAAATATGTATGTTCCTCCGTTGTCAGCATTTCATATTTACATGTATTTATAGAAATTACCCCTTTGTATGGTGATGATTGTACTGCATTCTATTATTACATCATACATCTGTATTACATTAATATCATAACCAAGACAGGCTAATGACAAATATATAGATGTTACATGCATGGCGTTCAACATTCAGAATGTGACAAATGCTATGATGTTATTTGTAGATACAGGTTTTCTTTAGGTTTAATTTTCCCAGGCGTCTTCCAAACCAGTCGATAGGTTTAACGCTGCTGTTCTTTGGCCTCTAACCCCACTTCTGGTGTGTATGGGAATTCAGGGGTCCGTCCTCTTCTCACGTGTTTCATATCAGATATACAAGAAATTTTGACAAAATTGAAAAAGAAATTCCAATAATATATTTTTATTACATGGTGATGACAAAATGTGTTTTTTTCAAGTGCAATGTACTTCACAAAACAGTCCAATAATCGAGCTGGGAATTTTATCAGGAGATTCTCGAGAACTTCCGTGTTTTTATCAGAATCTGTCAGAGACCTTAATCAGTAAACGTCTCCTGCATGTCAGGCTGATCTTAATCCCTGGAATGCTTGAGATATTGGTCTCCTTAAAACTAGAGCCTCTTTAAAATATTTCTTGCTTGTAAGTTACTAATAGTAACGTGTGTTAGATTTCAGATATCTCAGTCAGTTCAAGTAAGAGGTCTTATCACATGCTTTAAACTTCCTATTTTTTTCTTTTTGCGGCTTACAAATCAGACTTAATCTTTAGATAATCTCTCTCTCTATTTACTATTTCTCTCGCTCAATCTCTCTCCTTGTCTCTCTCTCTCATCCTCTCTGTCTTGCTCTCTCTCTCTCTCTTGTTTATTGCAGAAAGCTTTATCAACATTAAAACGGCGCCTGCTGGTAATTAAGTTCTGATGAGGCGTTCCTCCTTTAATTAATATTGTTCAGAAAATTGCGTCCTCATACAAACGGACAGATAATGGTAGCTACAAAGTTAGTCACTACCGGCGAGGACAAAGAACTCGGAGGTATAAACTGCAAGTGCATGATAATCAATGCTCATTAAGGCTGAAACCTGCCGTGTACAAGAAAAAAATCAAAGCCTGAGACAAGAATGACTTAAGGTAACAATCAGAATAATCAATTCCCTAAGACCCTGGGCCCAGTACCTAATTACAGGGTTTTATCTTAATAACCTTTTCAAATTAAATACTGTATGGTGTAGATATACACCAGTTGTTGGTCTACAGGGCTGTATTTTCTTCAGCACTGAAAGAGCACGCAAAATCATTTTATACCAATAATACGTTTTTATAAAGGAAACCCTGTTTTTCGAGAGGGTAAGTTGTATACGCAACAAAATCTTAACTAAGACGGTGCCATTGGCTCGCGACTCTTTCAAAGATGCGTCTCTCTCAAAACGTGACAAGTGCATGTCCATTTCAAAACTTGACAAGTATGCATCTGTTTTCTGTTTTTGTGTCTGTATTTTCCTGTTATTGCCAGATCATTACATGGAGAACAAGGCGTGTGTGACCGATCAGCAGGGGATGCTCACTCCTACATGACACCTGATCCCTTCTCTAAAGTTTTGGAGGTCCTTGTTTGCTCTGGTGCTGATCCGAATTCATTGAATGGACTTTTGAGCTTGAATCTGTTTGTTATATCCATATTTTATTGATTCAGACGAGCGTCATGGTCAGTGAGCAGCTAAGTGTGATTTATAGTATATATACTGTACATTTATTCCACTAATGAGTTACTTAGAACATCTGGGCCGGGATCATTTCCCTGGGAAGTATTGATGAGATGCATTCCTCTGGTGACTGGAGGTCTAACATTTATTATTCATGTTATCGTCTTTACGTTAGGCTGATTCGGTTTAATATGGAGAAGTTTATTGAATCCATTTCCCTCAAGTATTTGGTATTGTTAAAACGTCGGTCTTAAGAGGGGTGTTTTCTTTAATATACTATTACTCAACCTCGACTTTTGGGCAGAAGAATGTATAACGGAGCACTATCCATGCCTACTTCAGCTGTTTAGTTAATTTCATTTATGCATGCCATTAAATATATATGTTAATAAAACAATTTTTCTACCAACCAAATTCAGATCTCCTCATAAGATTTTGCATGTAAAGTAAATATTTCTGATTCTTAAAGAGGCGTTGGCAAAAAAGAATACAATGCATGTACCAATTTCGTGTCTCTGTTAAGACTAACACAAATCCCAAAGTTAACAGTTATCACCGGAAAACCTCTGACGTCCAGAACATAGGGTAGGAACCGGGGGGACTGGGGGCTTAGCCCCAGCCACCACCACCACCACCACCCCCCAACACACACTTTTTCCCCCCAAAGATAGACTTGTATAGCAATTGAACATTGCGGCGTAGGTTTAGCCCCCCCCCCCCCCCCCAACTTTCAAAATTAATGTTGCAGTATAGGTTTAAAAATGTGGAAATTGATAGCGTGTGGAAGAAAATTTGGTAATGAAAAAAGTTTCATTGAAATTCATGGTGAAACTTTGGAGACCCAAGAAAAAGCCCACTACCCCCCCCCCCCCTCTAACGCGGTTCTTACACACACACACACGAAATAACGAAATAAGATTTTCGTGATTGGACAGTTGTTATGGCGTTTAGGTTTCATGCATTTCGCTTGGTCTAATAAATCAAAATGAAGTCATTTATTTTTGTGTCTAAATATATTATAATAAAAAAAATTGATGCACTGGGCAAAGGCAATGAAATACAAACAGAAATACAAAAGGGGGAGGGGTAAAGATCTAAATAAATCATAGTAAAAGAATTCGATGCATTTGGGCATTGGCAATGAAATACAAACAGAAAGGGGGGAGATCTGTTACGTCTGTATATAGATGGTTCCTGAATTGAACTTCAATTTCAGAGTTTTTGATCTTTAAATTTTACGTGAGTCCATGGTCAAGATTCAAATAGATTATACCGTTAATGACTTTTTGTATCAAAATACTAGTATCCAAATGTGAAACAATTTTTTTCAGACTGCACGATATTCATAATTTCACTGCGATACATCGAATCGATCGCGACAATGGAGTGATCTATCTATTTTGAATTGATAATACGCCGTCAATATATCTAAAAGATGATTTGGAGGCCACAGCAAGTGTTTTTTTTTCTTTTATGTATAAGATTTTGAAAAAGTTATGCTTCTTTTGAATACGAAACTAGGCCTGTAAATAACGTGCGCAATCGATACCCATTGGAATCCCGACAGAAGAACTGGTTTTCAAAAACAACATAAATATCGTCAATCTGTTATCATCTTAATATTTCTTGTGTATACAATCAGAAAGACATGCATCATTACTTTAAAATATCCGGTATTATTTTAAAAGGACGAGGCATTTTGCTACACGCTAAGCCAAGATTGGAATATTTATTATCACAACGGTTTTTTCATTATATTAACAAAACATTTGATGTAATTTGTGATGTTCTATTTAATTTTTTCCTGTAAGAATCTGTTCAAAGAAATGGTCAACGGTCCATAGTTTTCTAATCAAAAGAAATATTCACATCTTATCAATTTTGGTTCTACTTAAAATCATGAAATTAATTTTAAAATTCCAATCGCAACGATTTTCTCCAGGGCCACAAAAAGCATTAAGGAGTGGTATGTTTGTTAAGAGCTGTAGAAAAGATGAGCGTGTAGAAAAATTACATTTAAATTCACTCGGTGTACATTTTATGAAAAAGCTTATTAAAATTAGAAATCAATAACAGATCCTTCGGCCGCGTAGCTCACACAGGAATGTAAATGAAGAACTCTCAAGACTGGCACTTTAATTGCGTGTGAGAGTGAATGCTTCTAAATGTCATAGAACTAGATACTTAAAATCCCGTGAAGTACTTCTTCAGTGGAATGAAGTCCTACAGTAATGACGATATTTTTTTTTACAAAAATTCTACACTGATCAGTGCTAACGTACCTGGTTATTTTGAAGTTTTGATAAGACTATGTTTTCAAAGGTGTGTTCCCGTTTTGCACACATTTTTTAATTAGGTATAGAACAATAAGTGTGAAATGTGTTTTGATAACAATTATAGTCTGATTTCTGGTTAGGATTTACCAAGGGCTTACCTTGTATTTTACCTATGTATAATTGTTCAGAGGAGGAATAAATATTTATTTAATGTACATGAATATTTATTGCAAAAAATGAATTTATTGAATATTAAATTTAATTATGTTAATTATTATATTAAAAATATGACTGCCATTTCTGAAAAAGAAACATTTTTTTAAACGATGATAATTCTGAAATCCCTGACACCGATTAATATTCATTATCATAATGAATTATTTAGCATAAATTTCTATTTTGTTATAAAAGTAAAGATGTAAAATTATTGAAAACTTGTAATGCACATAATAATTTTTTTGTTGTTTTAATCTTTAGTTTTATTTTCTTCAATAAAACATCCAAATATGAAACAGAAGTGTCAGATTCAGTGGAGTTGTCTTTTAATATAACATTCACTGAAAGTGTTTTCTTCCTTTCATTCAGAAGTTTCAGAATAAATTCTGCATGATAGAAATATAAATCCAGGTCGGCAAATTAAGGAACGCAATCAGTTCATATTGTTTGATGAAAGACTTCCAAATGCATTAGAAACCCCTTCATTCAATTGAATTCAAAGACATGTAAATGATTTGAATGAAATATAATGAAAAATTAAACAGTGATATAAATTGGGTTTCCAGCCTTCTACAGTAAGATATATAATGATATTGTTAACAGCATGTAAACATCTTGTCTGCTGGGACTATGTTGTTCATGTATAAAAGTGTATATCTCTTTTCACATTGAAAGGTTAATATTAAAACATGTAGATATATATATATAAAAGATATATAAAACAAATTTTTGAGACAAGAAATAAGTAATGCACAATCCTGTCTCAAGATTATATGCATGTTAAATACAGAAATGTCCATTTCGATTGTTTTCTTTATAAGAATTAAACTTCACAAACAAATATAAATTATTAATTTCCACACATAGAGTAAAGAAATAATTTATTCAAGATTTTTTCAACAAATAATTTATAAACAGCACATTTGTTTGGACCAAGTTCATAAAATTACAACTACAGCAAATAATGGACGGCTTGAGAAAACAATAAACTTGTTCAATACATATATCACTGATCCTTAAGGGAGAGAAGAGGGTGGGTCTGAGTCACAAAGCACAGCTTGTGAAGTCAAACAAAAAACAAAATGAGTTTGTCACCTAAGTTGATGATTAATTATTCACAAAAAATCAAACAAAAGACAAAATGAAATGATTTTATGGTGCTCTCATCATAAACAAAACTGTAAATCAGGAGTAGACAGGAACTTTAAAGTAGCATATAGCCAGAAATGTTCCCTCAATTTCTCAACATAATTTTCTTTGGATTCATTGCATTGCAACTTCGCATACAACACTAGCACTTTAAAACATTTTAAAAACTACATGCTGGCATGTAAAATGACTGCATCATTTTTCAAAACAACTTTACAAAAAAAAATTATTTGAGAAGAGTACTTGAGACAAGAGTACTTATTAAGTGACTCATTCTTACTATTCTTTAATCACTTCAGACACAATCATTCATATAAAGGGACATCACTACTTTCTATAATAATTAAATTATTATTTTTACTAAAAGATCCTTATGGTCCTCTGTTGTCCCCTGTATTAGTTTTCTCAGGACTGAATCAACTCAGCCCCACATGACATTAGAGCTCTGAATTCATGCAAATCTTACAATTTGAAAAGGACCATTGGGTACAAATTTTACCCGATGAAATAAAAAGATTTAGAAAGGTACACAGTATGAAAAATGTTCACTGAATGATCAACAGAACTCTGCTCTGGGGTCTAAATTCTGGGGACAGAGTGACTCAGATGACCTAATAGAGCAGTACAATAGCATTCACTTGACCAGTGTTTAACTTGTGCCAAGTGTCAGAATTCTAGCAGAAAACTTAACATAAAATAAAAAAAATTATTTCTAATACAATTTTGGGAATGGGTGCAAATTTTCTGTTCAGCATGTAAAGCAAATTTGCAAATAATTATCACAGACAGTTCTGAGGTCAGTTGTCATGTACATTCCTAAACTGAACTATTTTTAGAATCTGGCTAAATACGTTGGAAGGAATTCATCTTCCAGGGTTTGTTGCTCTCTGTAGTCTTTAGCTATTGTATGTATCTGTGTCACGCCCGACTCTAAACAGATCAGCTGTAAACAATAAACATAGATATCATCAATATATAGCTAACTGCCATCTTTACAAATGAAGAAATAATTTTTCATATTCCTGATTTTAGGATGTTATGAATTGAAGGCCTTACCATTTGAGGATTTCTGCCTCCATGCCCAGCTTGACGGACATCTGATGTAAAGGCTAGACAGGTTACCCTATAATAAACCATAAAGAATATCAGTGATGCAGTTAAAAGTCAATTATTTAAAAATCAATTCCATAATTCATTGACAAACAGAATGTATAGATGTACAGATACTGGAGAGAGAAAAAAATCGCCAAATGATAATGTTTTGTGATAGCAAAAACAATGTCGAAAAGTACTGTAAATGTACACATGACTTTCACATTTACAAAAGTTATTCCCCTTTGCAGGGTCAATCCGGGGTCAATCGGCATAAGGCACTGTTTTCCCTCTATAACCTTACCAACTTTATGGGTCAGTATCTTAGAAATAAAATCTGTACAAATATGTTCATTATGTTTTTCATGTTGCGTCCAAACTCTGGCAATACAGGTACAGATCGAAAATTGCCCAATAACGTTTGAAGATTTAAAATATTTACAGGTAACTTGCAAAGGACAAACTGGGAAAAATGAGCGTTATGCCAACAAGGGAAGATAACTCTTAGGAATTTGAAATTCATCTATTATATTTATCATATACAACATTTGGAAGAAATTGACTTTTGACCAAGTTAGCATATACATGTACAGTTAATTCTCGATAAACCGCCACCTTTTGTTATTTAGAAATCATGGCGGTATAACGAATTTGGCGATGAATCAAATTTCCCATCTTTTAGAAAACAAGAAGTAGAGTTACAGTTCCTAGAATACCATTTAGCGTTTCTATTCTTATTATTACATGTACATGTATATAAAAAATATTTCTGATTGAAAATACTTCGTTATTTCTTTTAATGTACAATTTCGCTAAAACAAAATGTGCAGTTATGAATTAAAGACAAGTACATGTGTATGCATGTAAATCTGCACGTCTGATATTGAAAAAAAAAAACAATTCTGGGTCGTCGTGGTGATATATTGCCGATAGTACGTAAAATGAATTCTTGAATGAATTCATTGTTTATGGCATCATTGTTAATGAAACGTTCACAACTTATACCGTATCACTATTTTTTTCAGCAAACTTTGCATTGTTTAAAGCAGAGATCATCAAAATAATATCGTTATCGGAGTACTGTAACAACCACCGCTTTCATGGCGAAGCTGTAATTAAATGATTTTTATTAAACAGAAAACAGAATTATAACAGTTCATGTTAAAATTATTGTTTATTTAATTTTTGTTTAATTATTTAATTGCATGTACCTTAAAATTGTCTGCCTTTGCATGCTTTACAACAGGAATAAGGTCAACCAATTAGCCGCGCTTCACTGACCACATGCACCTGTGGCGGTATTATCGAGATAATTGACACTTAAAAATGGACGTTTGTTGTGAAAACAGGGTGGCGGATGGCGGTATGCGAATTTGGCGTTATAAAGAGAATTTTATATAGCAGGAAAAACGTTCTTGGGAAATCATGGCGGTATTGCGAAAATGGCGATGAATCGAATGGCGATAATTCGAGAATTGACTGTATTTGATCAATTGCATTTCTGAATATTCTTAATTAGGCTACACCAATTTATTTTCTTGTTCATCGGATATTTGATGGAAAAAAGTACGAGTGGGCAAGCGGTTAAATAATAATATTATTACTTTTTTGAAGGTAAAGTTTTTAGGCGGAGCGTGAAAAAATTTGAGCGGACAATTATATTTTATCTGATTTGCAGAGTTAGCAGATTAAACAAACGATTAATGGAGCGGAAATGGAACAGGAAATAGCCCATAATTTTTATGGTGCGTGAAATTTAAATTAATATTATATGTATAGTTTTGTTTAAATACGAGCGGGCAGATCCGACGAACAAGAAAATTTATTGGCGTGGCCTTACGAATAAATGTGCAGTACATTTAGCAGTGTACTTGAATTTGCGGAAGTTTCTTTCTGCCAAAAGCGTAAAAAAGAATACACAGGCAAATGTTATGTGTAAACAGTATTTCCAGATGACCTGCAACACCTTGCATTTTTTGTTTTATTTGAAAGAATTTCTATTTCTATTTCTTGTGATTTCTTATAATTTGACAATTTCTATTTTGGTCTATCTTTCTTCAAATATACACTGTACCTGGCATCATTTGACAGATTTTCTATTTTTGTATTACCTTGCATCATTTGACAGTGTCTCTATTTTTGTCGTACGTTGCATCATTTGACAGTGTCTATTTTTGTCATACCTTGCATCATTTGACAGCGTTTCTATTTTTGCAGGCATGGAATCCCCCTCCAGCAGATCAAACGTGTAGAGTCGACTGTTGTCGTCTAAAACGTAGAACACACAGGGTCGGCTCGGGGACCATCGCGCACACTTGACCCCCGTGGTGCCCCAAACTCGGGACGGCCAGGACACCAGAGCTGTGTCTAGAAATAGATATAAATCATTGTAGGCAGTCAATCGAAGCACAAATAACATTACTTCCTATACAGCTTGTAACACAAGGTTTCATTGGTTAGGAAGCTGGGTGTAAATTTCTGTACACCTGACTTCAGGTAAATAATGTGATATCACAAGGCATAGTTTCTCTATCACAAAAAGCAAATAACATGACATAATGATGCATTGTTGCATGCAGCAAATCTTTCGACAGTTTAAAACCCAGGCGATACATTGTATTATGTATTAATCCTTTCCAAAAATCAAAGTAACATATGTTTACAAATGAGGTTTCAAAAGAGAGAGGCCAGAGTTGACCTTGATATATTTTGAATAGACTTTTTTATTTTACCTGTTTTTGTGCTGAACAAATGAACATCACCATCTCCTGTTGTTACCTGCAAATAACCAGTCAGGTTTAATATTTATATGTTTAATCATCTACAGTGGAGCTTCTTTTATCCGGACGCTTTGGTTCCTAGACAATTTGTCTGGATATGTGAAGCATCTGGATACCTGAATCACCAGTTAAACAAGACAAAATAACATTTAGAAAATCCGTTCCGATGAAAAAAACGTCCGGATACTGAAGCATCCGGATATCTGGCGTCCGGATATCTGAAGGTCCACTGTATACAAATACAGTATAAAATTGAATCACAATGATACTATTGCTGTAGTAATCAATTCAATGCATAAATTACCATGATGACTTGATACAATTTCTATATAATTGAATTGAATAAAAACTTACCAAGAAACAAGGATGACAGAATGGAGAGAAATCGACTGTTTTAATATCCACAGGAGCATCTAAAACAAAATCAAAGACTTTTATACACTGAGGTAAAGATCTAAGAACTTTCTACTCTCTGTTGCTGTTAAATAAAACTACCAAGGGAAATCTTTTATAGAACTACTTACCATTGAGAGCAGTAAAAGTTCTAGGGTAAGCCCTTGATCCAAACCGTAAGCCATGGTACACAAAACCCTATAAAAAAAAAACACGTGTTCAGCAATAGCTAATTACAGAACACATGCATAAATGCTAATTTAAAACATTTTTTTTCAAAAACTTGTCCATAGTTATAATTCTACATCATGTAAAGTATTTGTTTATATTATGTAATCGAAGTGTCCGCAGAGCGGCAGCTCCCAGGTAGCTGCTATGTATTGGCAGCTCCACCGGAGCTGCCCCTAACATGTATATATAGGGCATGCACGCACGCGTGCTAAAAGGGAAGATAGGGATATAGAGACAGTCAGTGAGAGACATATAGTTTGTGGATTTGTGAAATTATATTTTTGATTATTTGTACATAATGTGATTGTGATTATTTATTAAAACATGTAATAAACTTGTAAACTTATAACTGGAATTTTTATTACGCTACCAAAGGAGGAATTTAATTAATTCTAAGGAGGATTTTAAAATAGCAAAAAGGACCGCATGCTCGGTCGCGCTACAATTACAAGATATATTTTTCTTTTCTTAAAAGCTGTTCAGTCTTCTTAATAATCTCATTATTTTCTTTTCCTTCTACTTTTTTTTTTTACTACTTTTAAACAACTCTGTGTATATTTTGTGTAGGATATCAAACTAAATATTTAGTCAAAAGCTTGACACAGCTTATGTTATTTGCTGTAAACCAACTCAAAATAATTTTTTCTATACTTTGTCAACCAGAAGACTGAGGTCAATACTTTGTTAACCTGTAGACCTAGGTCAATACCTTCTCAGTTCCCACGTAGAAGTGATTCAGGTCTCCCGGAGATAACTGTAACTCAAACGATCTCAACGCTCCAGACTTCTCTCTGAAATCGTAAAATATCCAATGACTTCTCTAGGGAATTCGCTATAAACAAGCACTACTCTTGATGAATCTGCTTTGTTTCCTTAATTTCTGGGTGTAATTTCATATAATTTCTGTACAAGAGATAAAGCTCCCCAAAAGGAACATCAGGAAGTTTGAAGATTCCTAAGTAGAGACTCGGTCAATAATTACAAGAGGGGGTCCAGCAGATAAATACTCAAGGGAGGTCTTAAAATAATGACCTGAGGGGATTCTGTAGATAATTACCATAGAGGGTTTTGTAGATAATTACCTTAGAGGGTTCTGAAGTCGGATGGAGGAACTCAGTACCAGTTTGATTCTCCCTCCTGGAGCCAGACCAAGGTCAAATTCTGATCCGGCCATGTCTGGATTAGAAATCTCTGCAACAACCTGGAATTCAGTACACCAGTTTATCAGAATCACTGATATTGGCCAATGAATACAGTTTAACAAATCTTAAAACTAAGCTTTCCTTGTTTTTCTAGATATTGCAATATGCCATATTGATATGTTTCACTATTCATATAATTAATATACCCAGAATTTGAGAACTCCAAGCTCTTCACAGGACACAAGCTGGAAGCTCAGACCACCAGAGGAATCTAAATAAACACAGTGAATGGAATGAAAATCAAAGCATATAACGTAGATAAATCATGTAAATGTGACCTAATTTTAGTATTAAATTAAGACTGTGTAAATGTATGATTCTTACCCTCATGTGTGTCATGTGAATCTGAATCACTGTAAAGAAATCAAAATACAGAATAATATCTTTAAAAAAGGAATTCAATAAAGATATATAAGGAAACAGCACAAACTGATACCTGTTCTTTTGAGACACCATTACAATTATTTCAGACTGGTACGTACCTGTCTGTGTAAGAGACTACGGGACTAAGGGTGGTGACAGGACTTTGATGATTATCTACCTCCCCTATACCAGCTGTATAAATATAGAATAACGTGTTTAAAAGATTTCAAGCTTAACAAATCCTGTCATTCCTTAGATCAGATCAGTTTGAAATAAAAACTTTAATTTTAAGAATTTTAAGTGGGTAGTTATTATCAAAAATCTATTAAAATGAGATGTTCCTAATCTGCTACCGCTTTTCAAAACCTAACAACATACTATATCGTACCTGTGTTATAGGTAGGGTACCGCAGTAAGTGGTCCGAGTTTTCATACTTTATAGATTTGTGTAAAGCTGGGGGTTCTCGGAGATCCCAGGCACACACTGAGCCATCCACCTACAAACACGACCAGCCATTAACATGTAAACACACAGGAATGCTTTCAGAACGGAATTTATTTAATGTCATCTCAGCTATTTACTGCCTCCAAGTAACCATTATTTTACACATTAGATATTATTTCTGTCAATTGATGGTTCCAGCAAGTGAGTTAATATATTATTATAGATAAGTATTCCTATTTACCATTCCTGCAAAGACTAGCGTGGTCTTGTAGGGACTGAAACAACAGCAGACTGGCTGGGATTCACAGGCAAGGATCCTATACAGGAAAATAAAGCAAGATCACTCATAAACCAATATAGCTATTATATTCTATATAAATGGAGACTTAATAATTGATTGTCAAAATTTTTGTTTCACCCAGTTTACATTTGAGTAATAAAATACTAGTATTATCAAACAAGAGGCCCATGGGCCTTATAGGTCACCTGAGTATCATGTGGCAACTTTCTAACAATTGAATTTGATTCATGTTTTAAACCAGAGGCCATGAAATTCACAATTTTGAAAGAGGCACCATTGCTTATCATAATTATACACTCAGCATGCTTACTTTGGTTACTTAATACTCAGAGGTAGATCAGAGTAACAAAGAGAAAATGCATTTCCACTTTTTGTGTATGTCAGGGCCCCCGGGTCAGGGTCTCTTGTGTTAGGGCGGGTCAACAGTTGTGCACCCCATCCCACAGGAACCACTGACCCTGGGGCCACATCTTTCAAAATTTTGGAAATTTTATAAATTTCATCATGTTGATTAATACCAAAGTGCAGATTTCAAAGCATTAAATTATTTTCATACTATGTTACCCCCCCCAAGTACCTCTGTCCCAGGGGCCAGGAAATAAACCATTTTTGGAAGAAGCAGGTTTCTTTCTCGTAAATATATACTAAGATCATTGGCATAATACCCAGGAACAAAGGAAAAGATTTTCAAAGAATTCATGCATTTTCTTAGAAACATTAGAGCCACGTCCTAACACAAGAAGCCCTGACCCAGGGGCCCTGAAATTAAAAAATCTCAAAGAGGCATCCTTCCTCCTCGTAACTATGTACATAGTCCATTGGTTAAATACCCAGGTGCAGAAAAGAAGATTTTTAAAGAATTTATGCATTTTTACTACATAACCTATATAACCCCGCCCTAGAACCCCTGACCCTGGGGCCATGAAATTCATAATTTTGGAAGAGGCAGTCTTATTCAACATAGCTATGTACTTGGTTAGTTTATTTAATACCCAGGAGCAAAGAAGAAGATTTTCAAAGAAATAATTCATTTTTTACTATATAACCTATATAACCCCGCTCTAGCACTAGAACCCCTGACCCTTGGCCATGAAATTCATAATTTTGGAAGAGGCAGTCTTATTCAACATAGCTATCACTTGGTTAGTTTATTAAATGCCCAGGAACAGAAAAGAAGAATTTCAAAGAAATAATGCATTTTCACTATATAACCTATTTAGCCCTGCCCTAGCACTAGAACCCCTGACCCTTGGGCCCTGAATTTCATAATTTTGGTAGAGGACTCAATGCTGATTACAATTATACCAACAGTTTGACTGCTTGATGTCCACCCAGGGGGGGCAGGGATCATAAAATTCACAATTTTTGTTCCCCTTCACCCATAGATGCTATATGCCAAATTTGGTTGAAATTGGTACAGTTGTTTCAGAGAAGAAGCTGAAAATGTTCAATGTTAACGCACGATGAACGACGCACGACGACGGACGAGAACGGATAGCAATAGGTCACCTGAGTTTACTCAGGTGACCTAATAATATACTGTAGATTCCTAAACATACGCGTGGAATTAATTATCGCGTTATTTCGCAAGAAGCACCACACGCGAAATCAAATTACTCGCCTTTATTTTTATGGTGCTGAAATCTATGTTAAAACTCTTTGATCAACCGTCCATTCGCGAATTCTTATTATCGTGATTTGCTCTTGAAGAGACCATTCGCGATAAAAAGTACTCGCGAAAAATAAGGAATCTACAGTACTCAATGATTATGGACTATCTGGTTCTATTTGGGATTGTGTAGGACTGTGTAGAACTTTAAGGACTAGCACAACTATGTAGGACTAGGTAGGACTATTGTAGACTACGTAGGACTATTGAGGACTATTTACCTTTGAGGATAAGAAGGCTCGTTTGTGTTCCAGACACAGATAATACCCTTCCTGTCCACAGGATTGGACTCTGACATCTGAAATAAACAAAACTTGTAACTCATTTTATATTTAGTATCTTGAATAAAAAATGGTATCTTCTTATTACAAATCAATCCTTAGACTCGTAGCTGAATTTCGTATAATGTTGTCTAATGGTTTTAGCAATAAACACAACAAAGTACCCCTCCCCCAAAGAAAAACCTCTCAAAATAGAATATAAAGCTAGATGTGGTGGTTTTTTTTATTCAGTACGTACCTCTGCACACTTGCTATAGGCGGTGAGTAAGTAGTTTGGCTGGGTGGGAGAAAAATGGGCAAACTCTACACAGCGTCCTGAAAAACAGAAACAGTAACAAGTTTTAAACCAACTTTCAGCACCAGTATGCAATTCATTTTATGTAAAAAAAAAATTGCAGTAATCAAGAATCATCCAGAGAAAATGAATATGTTATAAAAATCTTTGACATTTATATATTGGTCAGCCTGGAGGAAGTCACAAAATGAATCTCTTGCTCAGATTTATTTATGTACTCATCCACAAGTACAAACAGCCAACTCAGCTGTGAGAGTCCCCTAATAGAGATCCGACTTGCTCTTAATACAGAGAAACAAGTCTGATATAACCTTAAGTATAGGACAAGGTACCTCTAAGTATCCCTCACTCTGTCTCTGACTTAATCTTGAGTATAGAACAAGTTACCTTGTAAGTCTTATGAATATCCTTCACTCAAGACTCAGATATAATCTTAAGTATAGATGGACAGATTCACTGTGAAAACTGCAGACTCAGACTTACCCTTGAGTATAGACACACGAGTCAGCTGTGAGTATCCCTCACTCAGACTTACCCTTGAGTATGGAGAGACAAGTCAGCTGTGAGTACCCCTCGCTCAGACTTAGATTTGTTCTGTTCTCTGCTTTCTCCTGCCTCTGTTGATCTTTTTCCTCATCAAGAAGAATGGCAATAACCTGCAACATTCATTCTTTAATTTGATACCATTTTGAATGAGTCAAATTTATCACTTATGCTGAGAAACATCCATTCAGATCTTCAACAAGTTCAAATTTGTAAATTCTTAAATTCTCAACAAGATCCCAATATTGAAGCTTCTGCCATACACAAAATGTACCTTTGAAAATTATTTCCTATACAAATCTTTATTCAAAAAGTTGAAATGTAGTTTCAAAAATTAAAGTTATAAGTACATGTACATACTATCAAGCTGTGAAATAATTACAAAATATCTGTCCAAAATGTATTTCAAACAGAATGTCTCTATACTGCCCAGCCTTCTGTATGAACAAGTTCAGTCGCTCCAGTATGTGTTATGACACAGTGTGATTGTCTACACACAGTGTGATTACAATTAATTGTCTATACACAGTGTGTTTACAGTTAAATGTCTCTATACCTGGCTGGCCTTCCGTATGAATGAGTTGAGTCACCCAGTATGTGTTTTGACATGATGTGATTACAATTAATTGTCTCTATACCTGCCCAGCCTTCTGTATGAACGAGTTCAGTCGCCCCAGGTCCTGCTGTTTGTTCTGCTGAGCTGATTCCTCCTCGTCCAAATCCTTCTCTCCATCACCCCCTGTAACAGCATGGAATCATACACTTAGGATAAAACAAACTTAGGATAAACACACTTAGGATAAAACATTAAATGAATTCAAAACAATCACAATCACCCCCGTAAAAGCAGGGAAGCACACATACTAAGGATTAAACAATAAACAAATACAAGAAAACTTCCATGACATATAGGTTCATGACATTCAGGGCTATGTAGATTGCAAATTGAAGTTTAGATACTGAAAATCCTTAAATTAATGAAATCTTAGAGAAGCTTCATCATTTATTCCTAACTGTAACATATCTGTATTTAACCATCTCCCCATTTATGTAGTAATACAATGTGGTTTGTAGAGGATTTGATAGTTTGATACATGATTTGATAAATGGACACATTTGCAAACTTGACTCCTCTCTTGTTCTTTGTTTAAATGACCACTAATTGTCTGTCGGTCAGTAAGCCCTAGTGTCAGTCCTTACGTCCACAGCCAGTGAAGTCTTCCGCCGGATGCTGCGTCCATTTCTGTCGGACATCGATCTCCTCCGTCTGGATTTCTCGCTCAATGTTGTCATCATTTGTCTGGACATAAGCCTACAATATCAGGTCAAAATATTGACTATTTATTTAAAATATAAAGTCTGTCAGTAAAGGAGTAAAAATTTCAATTAACTAATTGCATATATTTACAGGTACATTTGCTGAATACCTTAAGACAGTCACACACATGTATATTATACTTTAACATTTCAATATTTATCATTCTTTTTTATTCATTATGATTCAATATAAGCCTGTGTTGACTTTTCTGACCTGTTTGGTGTCTGTGCGACCAAAGCTTCTTATATACAGTTCATATTCTTTGACCGGTGGAAGGTCAAACAGGTCGTATGATGAGACATCGAGTTCTATCATCTGAAGCAGATCCTGGGCCCGCTTGGCCGTCTTACTGTTAGCTTTACGACTAATGGCTCGCTGCCTGGCCCCCGTGAAATTAATCAAGCCTCGAGTGACAGGTCGAGCAGTTTCTGAGTCTGAATCCTGATCATCATACTGTTTGTTGTATTGATTAACTTTCTGAAATAAAAAAATTAAAGGAAGGTCCAAATAACTATACATCTACATGTATATTCAGATAGGACAGTTCCTAAACAATTTAATATGGTCAGATGGATTTTACATTTAATCTTATTCTTTCATCAAACATTTTTATACTACAATCTGTCATTCAATATAAATAATAGTTATTGAAATATTTTCTACCTTGAAGGTCTTGTCATCAGATTAAAGCGTCAAAGTTAACACAAAAATGAAGATTAGTTTTAGGACTTACCGGTGAGTCATTGCCTTGCCTGGAGTCCTGGTACAATCTCTCATTCTCTTGATCAAGGGCTCGTAAGACTTCATCCATCTCGGAGTCCTGTTCACAACAAGTAGACTTGAAATATCTTGAATTAGCTTCACAGAATTAAAACTTTGCTTAGGTACAAGTGCATGTTCATGATTGTATGTGTGTGTATAAGGCATCCAAAGACTTGTTGCTTGAGAAAGTGAAAAAGGACTGACAAGCAAAAAAAACACTAGCAGGCTGCACCATCATCTTTAAAGTAAACCATAGACATCATAATCTACAGTAAAACATGTTTATAGTGAACACGCTTATAAAGAATTGGTGTTTACAACAAAGTGTTTTTAATTCCCAGTGACTTTGAAATATATTATAAACTATATGGATATAACGAATGGAAGATCGCCCTTCCCTGGCACTTCATTATATGTGTCTTTTATTGTACATAAAAATACTTTATAATTTAACTTTAATTTTTATCTGTGTCAATAGTTTTTAATTATATTGACTGCTTAAATTCATAATATATGTAAGAGGCATAGCATATATGACATCAAGAGACTTGTTCTATAGGATAAAAGAACTTTAAAACAGGTAGATAAAATGGTACATTATGATACGACAGGGTGTTTTTCTGAGGTTTTGCATGCTTAAAGTGCCAAACAGAAAATATCAACCAAGTGACAAATCCAAACATATTACATCAATTCTGTCATTAAATTTGAAAAAAATCCATCCATTCGATAGTATACTAAAATTAGTTAGATTTTATAAGTGTATTTAATCCTCCATAACATAAATTGTTCTCAAATACACAGAGGCACTATAACTTGCAAGTTCTATGCTCATTTACAACATTTGGCATTTGCGATCATTAATGCTAATTTAACGGTCACAAGATGAGTTGTACTGACAGCACCTAAGTGGAGCCCGTAAAACCTGCTTGCAACCCTTTACATTCTAATGCAGTCTATGCATTTTGATTGATGTTTATGTATTATTTTGTTGTGATTTTTTTGTATGAAAAATGTCATTAATGGTTGGTTTTTGAGTTGTTTAATCAATATGTCCAAAAATAATAATTAACTGCTTCAAACATCAGTCCATTAGCCAATCAAAATGTGTTTTAATAATTGTATCAGAATAAAGTTTTACATAATTAGTTTGGATTTACACAGCTGTGATTGATGCCTGACCACACACACTCCATACATAAAAATATTTACTGAATAGTCCAGGCCAGCTCTGCCTTTACGTGGGGTCTTTTGTAGATCATAATCGGACAATTGCTACATAAATAAAGGCATATTCTTAGACAGAGTTTGGACATGCATAAATAACAGACAGTGTTAACTTTGGAAGCCCTTTCTCCATTTATACTGCGACCAGTAAATTTTTACACATAGAGACTACGAACACAAAATAAAGAAATACTATGGCCCACCTTTCCTTTGACAACTGGTGTGTCATCCTCTTCATCCTCAAAATCATCTTCATAATCCTAAACAAAAGAGAAGATAACAGTGTTAAATGCTACAGACTCAAAAAAATATAAAAGAACAAAGTATATTGAGGTGAGTCAATATATTACTAGTTCATAGTATTGGGGTTGAGTTAAAAAGTTACAAGTCTAAGATCAAAGTACTTGGGAGCATGACCTTTAGTTTTCCCTTTTAATATATATTATATATATTTACTTAGTTAATCTGTTTGTAAGGAAATTGATACTAAAAAGTTAAGACTGACCTCAAAATCGTCCTCATAATCACCGTAGCCATTTTCTTCCTCCTCAGGTTCATTCTCCTAAAACATTTCAGATAAATTACTCTTTCAGTATATCATTGTCATATTTCTTTTATTAATTAAAGATTGAATTGTTGGTCTTACAGAGGTGCATGTAACTGGTACAACTATATAACTGTATTAATGTTAATAATCAATACATGCTTACACTGAAGAAATTTTCATTCTCTCTAATTGTTCTAAAATGTATTAACTTCTCATTTATAACATTTATAAACAAATTAAATGTTCATCTCTAGCATTTTGCTATAACAGGTCTGGACGATTTCTAAATATGGAAGTCAAGAACGATAACCGAAAGTTGCTATAAATGGACATCAAGTACACGTAATTGTTTTTCTGTCCAATCAGACAACAGCATTTTTACACACCCAAAAACATATTTTAAAAGAACAAAAAGATAACACGTGATTTTGTTTTTTTCCTCAAAAAGATTTTTTCAACAAAAAATCTGTAGAAGTAAGATGAAAACTTTTGAAGAATAAGGTATTCCCCACATTTTTACCGTGAACAAGCTTGACATTTTTATCTCGGTAAAGAAAAAAAATAATGCACAATAGAATGTAATCGTTTACAGAGGTATAGATCGCACCAGCAAGTTTTTATCAAGTTCAATTATAACATTTACCAGAATATATTAGATGATGGTAAATATAATTTTGCTTAGCCGTCTGATTTTCATCGAAAATGCTTAAATTCCATGTGTATAGATCAACTTACACAAGTGTTTATCGTATGGAGTATACACATATAGTTTTGCATTATCACGGGATTCATGAGCGCCGAATACTTAGCTATGCAGACTTTAAATGGGCATAAGGAAAGGCGTTTAACGTGGAGAAAAGAGAATCCTGTAATTATACAATGTACATGAATGCATTTTATCCCAATATCTTACCTCGCATATCATAAACTGCATGGACTACTAGTATTCTGTAATAAACACTCAAAAGTAATAAAGACTGTTATCTTTTCGATAAGATTTTTATGTCAGGCTCTAAAAACTGAAAATTTACCGTATTTATATCAATTTTTTAACGTAGGTAAACTTTTGGAATTGCTAACTCCGAGAGACAGATTTTTTTTTATCCCACTTAAAACGTATTCCAAGCTTTCAAGTCGTGTATGTTCACGGTAGAATTGTCATAAATATTATATTATTCCCAAATGCGCATAAAGTTTACAAAAAGTTTGTTCTAAAAAAATCTTTTGAGCAAAAAACTTAAAAACCACGTGTTTTATTTATTCTCTCATAGGTTTGTCTAACTGCTGTTATCTGATTGGTCAGAAGGATTGGTGCCTTGTTTATTCTGTGTATTAATAGCAATTTACAGTTATCGTTCTTGACTTCCTTATTTAGAAATCGTCCAGACCTGTATAAGCATGATTAACTGTTTATTTCTATGTGGAGGGAAGTAGATACTGCAGATCATCAAATTTTTGTGACACCTTTTTTTTCACAAAGTAATTTGATACATGTATTTAAAATTAAAACTAAATTTTCAAGAAGTTTGGACTTCAATTTGATTTATCAATAAAACTATGCAAGAGAATGAAAAATTTGCATGCGTACTTGTCTCTTGTAAATACGGAAAGTAAAGTTTTCATAAATAGAAAAGATTCACAGTATTTTTCAAGATTTAAGTCATAGTAAAGTCACCAATTTTGAAGGTAGATTTATAACACTAAACATTTAGCATGCACATTAAGCCATTGAAAATGTAGCTAAGCATGCAATCTATTGATGCAGTGCATTGTAATACATTTTATATTTTTTATGAATTGTCACACATACATATGCATTTATATATGTAGGGGTCAAGCAATCATCATTTTGTGTGCCCTTTTACCAATGTTACACAATAAATACCCAACTTAATTATTCAGAGTTAAATCTACCCAAGGATCAGTTACAAGGTTCATGCAATATAATAGGAGGTGATACACTAATAAGGGGTATACAAAAAGCATATAACTATAGAAATACCAGTTTCAAACAGGACTTACTCTCTTTCTGCTGGGATTGGCTGATTTCCTCTGAAACATGAGTCCTTACATTAAACTTTATACACAAATTTTCTGTGGAAATTTCTCACAATGTTCTTAAAGTGCATGTAAGACATAAAATGGTAATAAAAAAGTTAGCTTGTATAGTTTGAACTAAAATAGTGATTTTGCCACATTATGTTCCCACAGAAAAAGTACATATTAAGAAAAACCTTTGCAACCTTCCTGTGAACTCTGCACTACATATCTGACACTTCAAATCAATACTTCTTATTACAGGGATGAAAACAGACTTAAAAGTTAGGATGAATGACCATTCTGAATGGAACCTCTCATCGGGTCAGATGTAAAAATGTTTTTTAACAGATGTGACAATGAGTTACCTTTTCCCGTTCTCTTTCTTTCTCTCTTTCCCTCTCTCGTTCCTTTTCTCTCTCTCTTTCTTTCCTGCGTCTCCGTTCTTCTTCCTGTAACAAACAGAACACTTCTGGTAAATAATTATATAAACAAAGCTGTCAAATAGCTTGTAAATCATAATTACATCTTAAAGTTTGTTACGCTTTGCTGACTACAAGAAAATAACAACCTGAGCTTTGAACTGGGGCACTTTTTATGCTTTAATCCCACCTTTCATCCCCATATCGCTTTATTACATGTACCATTATATTATTACATGTACCATTATATAAACATCATTTGACATATTTCTAGTGATTGGCATATCTGTGAATCAAATCACCCCATCTCTAGAATACTTACGTCCTCCTCTCGGTGTCTACTTTTACCCCCTTCCTTGGCTTCTCGTTTTTCTCGTCTCTCTTTTCTCTGCCTTTCTCTTTCATCCTGTTTAGATGAATGAATTAAATAAATGTCTTATTACATCATAAAAACTGAGAGACTTATAAATATCAACCATGTGGACTGGCATATGATGTATATCTTAAACTTTATATATCAATCAATGATTGCAACCTTCAAGATGACCTCAAAAATTGTTTCAATGACATGCTCTCAACAAATATCACGTTATCCAAAGTCTGGCGGTCATTCAGATCTAGACAGGTTTAATAATCAGATTTTTTCCTTTCTAACTTAGCTAAGTTATGATAGTCCACCTTTAAAACTAATGCCTTATTTATACTTAGCTAACAAAGTACCCTTCAGAACATTTAGTTCTCCAATAGTTACTTACTTGATGTATTTTCAGAGACAGTTTTTTTTATCAATCTGAAGTGAAACTTTATAACATGTTTGTCCTGGGAAAGATGGATAAATAAACCCCCAAAAATAGAGTAACCTTATTTCCCTTTGTTGTTTAATTTACTAAAAAAAATCAAATATTATATATACATATAAAATGTGAAAAAAAGAGGGTGTTCTTTGTGCTGTAAAACTAATTATCAACAATAGTTGTCGATACAAATCAGTGGGTAGTGGCATCAATAACATGTAGCTGGGTTAGGGCTGATGATGAAATTGTGACTTATAAAATTCTCCATTTATCACTGGTGCAAGAATCAACATGCCGTTTCAACAGGTGACCACAAAAATGTCTGTGGGTACTCCATTAAAGTAAATGTCCAATGTGACATCAGAAAAGCATAAACAAATGCCAACAAAACAACAGCAAGCCGAAAGACCTCGTCTAGAGTTTTCTCCCCTTTCTTCTCTCTCTGACGATGTTTTTCTCTTTTATGACCCTGAACAACAGTCACACATGTCTTATTGTTTAAAGGTACATTTCTTAAGGAAAATACAGCTTCTGAAGGGAAAATAACATTACAGCTGATCCATTCTTATAAACACTTTTTACAATCTGGATATCAAGGAAGCAATGTAAACCTTATCTCTACCTTTTGTTAACACTAATGAAAGACATTCTTACATCTTCATCTTCTCTGTGTCTCTCTTTCCTTCTTTCTCTTTCATCCTGCAATGGAAATGCAAATCATTACCTGTCTTTAAAGAAAAAAGGATTTGTTGAAGGAAAGTTGATTTATTGACACAGATTGACCACACCTGCAGTGGGAGCATATTCTCACCTCATCCCTGTGGTGTCTTTGCTTTCTGTCGTCATCCTCCTCTTCTTTCCTGTGTCTTCTTCTTCTGTCTTCTTCATCCTCTTCCTTATGTCTCCTCCTTCTATCTTCTCCATCTTCATCCCTATGTCTTCTTCTTCTGTCTTCACCATCCTCATCTCTATGTCTCCTCCTTCTATCTTCCCCGTCTTCGTCTCGATGTCTTCTTCTTTTGTCATCATCTTCCTCATGTTTTCTTCTTCTATCATCTTTTTCTTCCTTCTCCCTGAAAAAAGGGGAAGTTTTTCTATGTTAATGCAGCTCAGAAAGGAATCATAATAAATACATGTACACTGAAAAAAGCAAACTAGCCATTCTATTGCGAATCCTAAATAACTCCCTTAAATATCGTGATTTTTAAAGTTAAAATTCATGAATGTGACTCTTTTCTTGTGTAGCTATAAATTTGCTGTTGTGTAGTGCTATAGCTAGAACTGTACCTGTGTCTGTCGTCCTTGCTCTTGTGTCGTTTTTCCCTCTCCGCCTCTTTTTCCCTCCTCCTCCGTTCTCGCTCTTCGTCTCGATTCCTATCATTGTGACTTCCATCTTCCTCGCGATCTCTGTGTCGCCGCTCCCTGCGATCCTCGTCATTATCGCGATCTCTGTGTCGTCTTTCCCGGCGATCGTCGTCTTCGTCTCTGTGTCGCCGCCTATCCTCGTCTCGTCGCTTGTCATCAGACTGAAATCACAACAACCAGCTTACATATAAATAACAAGGACACATTCACTGTTGCAGAAAGCACTTCATATCTGAGAGATTTTAACAGAAAACTTAAGCAATAATTAATAGGTGAGGATAATTCCCATTCCCAACTTATGAATGTATCCTTCTTTGATTTTTATTTAGGGAGGGGGGGGGGGGGGGGGGGGTACAAGTAAATTCGGCACCTGGTGAATTCGGCACTCAAAGAAAAAGTGAATTCGGCATCTAGTGAACTCGGCACCTAGTGAACTCGGCACCAGAATCTGGTTAATTCGGCATCAGATTCTGGTTAATTCGGCACCTTTCATTAATGAATCGAGATATGTATTATTACTTGATATTTCCTTGTGACTATTTGTTGATTAATGAATTTGCTTTAAGAGTTATTTAACATTTAACTGAAATTCATGTATTTGTCCTTGATTTGCAAACACTTGTTTGAAATTATAAGAATTCCGTAAATATTTTCTTTTCTTTTTTTTATATATATTTTTTTGTTAATGCGTTTTTGGTGACATTTCATTTACTGATTTTTTTAAAACTAATTAATGTCTTTTTTAACGGATTGATGCGTATTAAAGGGATAATGTCGTTTTTGATGGGATGATGCGTTTAAAATAAAATTGTTATGAAATAAAACTGAGTACAAATTATATACATTTATATCTAAATTTCAGTACTGGCATTTTCTTTAAAATTTTGATTTTAATTCTCAAAGTCATCGGTAATTTTTATGAATTCTTTTTGTATAAAGTCCCTTTTCAATGAAGAATTTAGAATTTTAATTCGAACTTAAACGTACATCATTGAATATTGTTAAAGTCGTATGTGGCATATTTTTGATAGGTACAGACTAGCAAAAATTAAGATTTTTTAAATTTGTTTTGTTACTTTGTAAAGACAGGGCTTTCCTGTAAATTACACCATTTAAATCAATATCCGAGATCCAACACACCCAACCAACCTTTTCCCGACTCGGCATTAAATATCAGAAACATCAGTTTCTAGAAACGTGGGGATATTTATGTTCCAATGCGGTGAAAAATATAATTTGATAAATAGTAAATATCATGTAAATCTACACATAATCTCCCATTTTTATTATTATTTTTTTTTTTAGCTCGAATACGTTAATAGCCATTCTCTGTAACCACTTAAACTTCGTTGCCACGCATGTCTGCTAAATGGCTGTGTGATGCGTACAGTGTGTGTGTCTGTCTGTGTCTGTGCTTGTCACTCTCGCTTTCAGCTCCACCCCTGGCTAGCAGCTTGCTGTGAAAGAGTAAGCAAAATATGTAAGTCTTCTCTGCCAGGTATAGCCTCTCCACAGTTAGACCAATGTGGCCCAGATATGGGATCCTCCTCGAGGTAGCAGATGGTAATTGGGTACCTTGCGGCCCCAAGCAGAACCACAGGGTCTTGGAGGAAACTAGGCCCCTAAATGCAAGGTATGCATGGCCCAACGGCGTTTGGATATGCCCTGATACCTGCAAACCTAGTTCCCAGCTATGGGTTAAATAGTTCCACTGCCTTGTGGACGGCTTGGGAAAGTCAAAGGCTATGGAAGAAAATCCAGACAGAAAATCTTAGAAAACCTGGAGAGAATGGCTTCATGAGCTATGGCAGGCAACCATTCTAGAGGAAGGCAACCTCGATTACAAATCCCTGGTCCACCAAGTTGGAGGTTGAGCAAGGGGGTAATCTCCCCTTCTCGTGAAAACTGAATGATTACGGATACGAGGACTAGGAGAAATTCATCCTTTCTCGAGGCATCAGAATACCAGCAGCCATCTGCGTGTATGAATGCAGCCAGTGAAAGCCAACAGGAAGCTGGTCGCATGAAGAGTATACTGAGCACGAGAACCAAACTTAAGATCGGCTTCTGGAATGTCCGTACCATGTACGAGGCAGGAAAGCAGGCGCAAGTAGTAAGAGAGATGAAGAACAACAAGTTACACATACTAGGAGTAAGTGAATGCAGATGGACAGATTTTGGAAAGATCATGACAAACAGCGGTGAGGTAATCATTTACTCAGGCAGAAAAGATGGTAGACATCACGAGGGAGTAGCAATTATTCTGAGTAAAGCAGCAGCGAAGTCACTGATAGAGTACCATCCTGTAAGTGAGAGAATGATGAGAGCAAGACTCGACACAAAGCCTATTAAAACATCCATCATACAAGTCTACTCTCCTACTAATGAGGCAGAAGATGAAACTAAGCAAGACTTCTACGAAGCACTACAAGCCGAACTTGAAAAGATTCCCAAACATGATTTAACCATCATCATGGGAGATTTTAATGCAAAAATAGGCCAAGACAACACCGGATATGAAAGAGTCATGGGAAAATATGGCTGTGGTACCATGAATGAGAATGGTGAACATCTGGCAGAGTTTTGTGGTAACAACAACATGGTTATAGGTGGGACGTTATTCCCACACAAGGACATACACAAGCTCACATGGATATCACCCGGAGGAAGAGACAAAAATCAGATAGACCATATTGTTATAAATGGTAAATGGAGACGATCTCTTCAGGATGTGAGAGTAAGACGAGGTGCAGATGTAGGCAGTGATCATCACCTTGTAACTGCAGATTTTAAACTTAAACTGATGAAAAATATACCAAAGTACAGCTGGAAAAGATTCGATGTTGGCAAGCTTAGTGACACAAAAACCAAGCAAGATTTTAGATTAGAGCTGAAAAACAGATTTTCTATCTTGCAAGCTAGTGATTTAGATGAAGAGCAGATAGACGAACACTGGCTGAAAGTAAAAGATACATTTAACAATGCAAGTGAGAAAGTTATTGGCTTCAGAAAACAGATACACAGAGAATGGATAACACCAGGTACATGGAAACTCATTGACAGCAGAAAAGAACTAAAGAAGAGGTTGTGCAACACACACTCAGAAAGAATAAAAGAGAAATTAAGAGAGCAATACTCTGACAGTAACAAAGAAATAAAGAAGGCCACAAAGAGGGACCGTAAGAACTTCATTGAAAATATGGCACAAGAAGCTGAAAAAGCAGCATCAGAACAGAGAATGGGCGATGTTTATCAGATCACCAAGAAGCTTAGTGGACAAAGAAGAAATGCATGTATGCCAGTAAGAGACAAGCAGGGCGCAATGATTACATCTGATAAAGACCAAGAACAAAGATGGAAGGAGCATTTTGAAGAGATACTAAACCGCCCAGATCCAAGAAACAGAGCAGAAATACCTGAAGCAAACATTGACTTAGATATCAACATAAATGAACCATCAAAATTAGAAATAATCACAGCAATCAAGAGTTTAAAGAACAATAAAGCACCTGGGAATGACAACCTACCAGCTGAAATATTCAAAACAGACCCTATCCTTGCAGCAGATATCCTTCATCCTCTTTTCTGCAAGATATGGAAGTACAACATGATACCAACAACATGGTCTGAAGGTAGCATCATCAAACTACCAAAGAAAGGAGACCTCACACACTGTAACAACTGGAGAGGTATTACCTTACTCTCTATACCAAGCAAGATATTCAGTAAAATAATTGTAAGCAGAATAAAGACAGCAGTGGATAAAAAACTAAGGAAAGAACAGGCAGGCTTCAGAAAAGGAAAGAGCTGCTGTGACCAAGTATTTGTACTAAGAAACATAATAGAACAGTGCACAGAGTGGCAAAGAAAACTCATCATAAACTTCATTGACTTCGAAAAAGCTTTTGATAGCATTCACAGAGACAGTTTGTGGAAAATCCTGAGGCACTACGGTATACCATCTAAACTAGTTGACCTAATAAAAGCATTTTATGCAGAATTTAAATGCTCTATTGGTAGATCATCAAACACAAGCTTTCTTGTTAAGTCAGGAGTGAGACAAGGATGTGTGATGTCAGCTCTACTGTTCATTATAGCAGTAGACTGGGTAATGAGATCAACCCTTAGTGATGAGAATACCGGCATCAGATGGACTCTTTTCAACAAACTAGAGGACTTAGATTATGCAGATGACCTGGCTTTATTATCTCATCTGGAAACACAAATGCAAAGAAAAACATCTAATTTACAAACAAATGCCAGCAAAATCGGATTGAACATCAACATAAAGAAAACAGAAGTAATGTCCCTTAATACAAAAAGCCCACCCAAAATACAATTGAATGGAGGAGATATCAAAAATACAGATTATTTTACATACCTGGGAAGTGTGGTAACATCAGATGGCGGAGCTGACAAGGACATAATATCAAGATTAGGTAAAGCCAGAGGAGCCTTTGTCAAGCTTAAGAACATATGGAAGTCAAGCAGTATTAGCAGACATACTAAGATCAAACTGTATAATAGCTGTGTCCTATCTGTTTTAATGTATGGTGCTGAATGCTGGAGGATGACTGAAAGTGACATTAAGAAACTATCAAGTTTTCATAATGGGTGCCTCAGAAAGATCTTGAGGATATTTTGGCCAGCAAAAATAACCAACAAAGATTTGCATGAAACAACTAAAACAACAGACATGAGGACCTTACTAGTAAAATATAGATGGAAGTGGATAGGCCATGTCTTGAGAAAGCCCACAGATGACATCACAAGAGTGGCACTCAGATGGACCCCAGAAGGGAAGAGAAGGAAAGGCCGACCAAAAACAACATGGAGGCGAACAGTGGAGAAAGAACTAAAGGAGATAAATCTCACCTGGGGAGAGGTGGAGAAGATTGCAAAGAATAGAGAGGAATGGAAATCCCTAGTCCTTGCCCTATGTGCCTCCGGGTGCAACAAGGACTAGGTAGGTAGGTAGCCACGCATGGTCGCCGATTTTGATGAAACTTCACCCATGCTTAGTACTTGACACCAGAAACATGTATCAAACAAAATTTCGTTGCTAAGTGTCTCGGTTGCTATGGCAACAGCCTGAAAAGTTTGAAAAATTGAGATTTTCAGCCATTTTAAATCCTGACTGTGGCTTAATAAAAACTAGAAAAAGCAAACAAACCATTCTCACAAAAACATGACACCTTGATGTCACTTATACTGTGAAGAAACTGTTTAGAATATATCTCTAAGTAAGTGGTAACCAAGGGTACATTTGGAATACATTTAAAATGCTGAAATATGCTGAAAAACACTCCATATTCACTAATGGTAGGTGTTACATGCTAAAACTCAATCATTGACTTAAGAAAAACAATGAAAATGTTTGACCTTAAGTATATAAGTATAAGCAATATTATTCTATAAATAACTTTTATGGTTGCCATGGTAACACAGTGTAACCATGCAAAACCAGTAACTGAGATTGGGTTAATGCTACTGTTTTGAGGAAAAACATGAAAATTCAAGACTGGCAAATATGCATCCTTAGGACCTTGCAACACCAAAACCATAAGAAAAATTGGGTATAATTGCTACTTTGTAGTGTTACAATGGAAACACAGCACTGGTGCTTAAAAATGATTTTTTTTCCGCTGCATTAAGAATTAAATTGCCATTTAATCAAGAAACAAATTAAAGAGCTCAACTGGAATTGTCTTATCTGTTAACACAGAAGTTAAATATCATATATTGATAAAATTTGATGAATAAAACAACACTGTTGCTATGGTTACCAAGAAGGGAAAATGTTCGATTTTGTGAACTTGTGATTAACATTTAACCCTGTGTGCCAACTTCTTGCATCCACTTACAGATTTGATGATAGTCAAAATTAAAAGTCAGGTTAGCTGTTAATAAATATCAATAATAAAAGTTTTGGGAATCTACATTTAAGGGTACGTATCCAAGGAAACAAAATATTTTTCAGGTTTTTAAGCACATATTTTCTGCTTATTTCCATAGCAACGCTCTATTTAAAGAATCTAATCTGAATTTTTTGAAATGGGAAAATTTGGAGGACACCAAGATCTTATAAAATTGATCATTAGTTATGAGGAAATGTGCTTTTTTTAAAAGATAGGATCAGATTAAACATACATAGTGTTACTTTGAAGGCTCTCTGGGGCATAAAAACCTTGGCAACCATTGCCAACCAAAATGAAATAGCATATTTTTTCTTGGTATGTGTTTCAAAGCTCTTTTTCTATTATTTGGTAACATTTCATCCTATAATTGCTTCTCATTTTTACCTGTATGACTTCATAAATTCAATGAATATTTTTTTTTACTTTTAAACACTTTGTTACCATAGTAACGTATGTAATAGTTGATTTACCAAACATGTTTATCATGCATTTGAGATATCTTACCTTCAACTTTTGGAAACAGTCATTAACAATTGTTTGCTTTGCCGCAAATGTTAACTAAGGGGCTCTAAACATGTTAAAAAATGCCATTTTTCGAACTTTAAGACATGTTGCCATGGTAACTATAAAACATAGCAACCAATTTTTGCCTGATTTCAGTTCAGGGTGTCAATACCTTTTATCATAGAGAGTGTGGAGAAATTCTGAGACTATGCGTGCCACAGCTCCTATATAAAAGTTCAAGTCATTACAGAGAATGGCTCTTAAATAGTTTTTTTTTGATTCTCAACAAAACGGGATGAAATTCTCACGATATAAAGATATGTTAATGGTTAAGACAATATGTCATGTTCATCTTGCATGACGTAGTTGATATCATTGTAGCTTTTATAATTCTTTTATGAAATCCTTCGATACTGAACATATTTTTTAAAAAGTCTTACAGGAATTAGGCGAAAAAAGGGAGTTGGGGAGAGTTTGGGGAACATCCGTTACGGTCCCTGTTATATTAACTCTAGTTGTTAAACTATTCAACGAGTCCGTATTCAGCATTTATTTACTTCTGCAGTGACCGCTCCCACAAAAAACTTTAAATGTACTATACATTTTTTTTGGTCATCATTATATTTGTAACGTATTAGCGTAAGATAATCCATTTGACATCTAATTAAAATGTTCTACACTCGGTAATAAAATACATCTGGTTATTAAACATGCGTTTACAACCCTAATTACACGACCTCATGTAGATTCCTACCATGCCTGCTGCTTTGAGAAAATTTTTATTGAAGTGAAATAATAATCATTATGTTAATTTCTTTTTACGAGGGTTGTCCGTAAAGTTCGTGGACAAGCTAAAAATTTAGCAAAAGTTGTGTCATTGATATTTATTATTGACATATTTCTAATCCTTTGCTAAATATGAATTAAAAAATGTAAAAATTTATTCAATTTCAAATGTTTAATTACAATTATGGGTTCATAATTAGACTTGGAATGGAGACCCGGAGCACCACAAAATTTTAATTAAAAACGAATGTATCACTTTATAAATTTCATTTGTATTTTACAAAATTCTGGGGAAATCTGAAAGAATTTTACATTATGAGTTGACAGAAGTTATCACTTCAAATCTGCAAAATTTGAACGTTCAAAGTTTCAAAACGGCGAAGCAATCAAAATTAGAACATATTAAGACAGGATCGGAATTGTTCAAAAAAGAGACCTTTTCGGAATAGGTGGAGCAGTGGGCAGTGATAAAATTCTGCATAGGTATCGGAAAAACACCTACAGAGACCAATACATTCTGTAAATAATAGGGAAAACATAGTAAAAGAAGTCGTTTACTAGTATTTTAGTGGCATATAATAATTTCGGACGGAATGAACAGTTTACAGGATGACATGCGTGAAGGAAAACCATCATTCCGAGATTGCAGTGCTATAAAAAATAAATTTCCTAACGTGATCATGACTTTGCCGTATTTCTGTAAATAAAATCGTATTTACACGGACACCTGTTGGATAATTGCAGGATATATGAGACAGGCATTGTCAAATATTATTTTACGAATAAAACCTGAACATTTTGTGCATATTATTATGACCTGTCAAAACCACATAAGCAATTATTGAGTTAAACTCTGACTATGTTAAGAAAAGTTATATGTGCTCGTATTTCGCTTTTGACGTCGGGTAACGTCAAGAATTTTCGTTTTAGTGCTCCGGGTATGAGTGAGTGTCTTTTTTGTATCTGATAAAAATTATAACTATTTGTGCTTTGTTTTTCTTGAAAACTTGCAAATTTATAAAATGAAACATGAATTTAATGAAAGTAATAGTTTCATATATTTTGTCAATGTTTGTCAGTAATTATCAATATTGTCCACGAACTTTACGGACAACCCTCGTATATTGACTTATTGATGAATATATGGAGCATGATGATCTGTCAAAAATCAAATATAATCAATGTTAATTTTTTTTTTCAAAACGCGAAAAACTTGGAAAATAATGCTAATACATGTATTGTACATGTATGTTCCTCGATATTAGTATATAATTTGCCAAGATTTTGATGTAAGAAAATTGCTATTTTATCATTCACTATCATTTTAATAGAAAACAGTTATGAAGATCGATGATATTAAAAATATTTCCTTACAATCACATTTTTTCTTGATTCGTGCCGTGTATTCTTTTCCTTGTTTACTTATATTGTGAATGTTTTGCTGCTGTATTATTTTAATTTTTTGAAACTTTATATCTAGAGAAAGATTTTTAAAAAATCTATAGTGTGTATAAATTGCAAAACGCCAATTAACTCGCCCCTTACATTAGAAAAATTGAAAACATTGGCAATGAAAAGATAAAAAAATAGGTGAAAAGTAAGTCGTATAATATAGGTGCCGAATTCACTAGATGCCGAATTTACCAGGTGCCGAGTTTACTAGGTGCCGAATATACCTGGTGCCGAATTCACTTTGCTTGGTGCCGAGTTCACCAGATGCCGAGTATACCAGGTGCCGAGTTGACTACAATTCGGGGGGGGGGGGGGGGGGGGGGGTAACTGGATTGATTTACCTTGGAGCTTTTTCCTTCTTTTCTTTCTCTCCTTTCCCTTCTTTGGGCCTCCCTATCATCCTTAAACCACAAATAAATTTCATATATGACATGTACTACAGTATAGGGACTTTAAAAGAAAAAGTTAATAATATGTAATCAGAGATTACATAGCTCACCTCAACAAATGTTACCATAAATAAGGCACCAAATGCATATTTGTATGTACAACATGATTTATTAGTTCCATGCAAGTCTATGCCTTCCATTAAATAACATGTGATCACTTGAAAATACTGTAGATTGGCAAATAATCACGGTTTTAATTTAGCTATGTTCGCAATTTATCATTTTCCATGAAATTAAACCCATCATGAATTTTATTATTAGTTCTTAGAGACGCTTAGATACTTATACAAAATTAAAATTAATTTCTTGCAGCGTGAAATTAAAAACATTGCAATTGGTATTAAAACGACTTACAGTATATCACTAAAATATATGTCATTTACAGCATCTTCTCTACAGTGGTGTGTATTGTCTTTAGAGGCATTATGCTTTCAAGTCTGGGTAAAGATAGGGCTTAAAGCAAATTAAGAATGGACCTGTTCAGTCCTTAAATTAAATCTAAATACTTATCCTCCTACATGCAGCCTATACTTATAGATTATACTTGTTATATGTACCTCAGTTAATCCCTCTCTTTTACTTTCTCTGTGTTTTTTCCTGTCCTGTAATTATAAATATCAATCAAGGTTACCAATCATCAGCTTTTGAATTACAGAAATGGATGAATTTTGTTAATAATTAAAGCTACAACTAAACACGACCCGCTGACCTCGTCGTCTCTATGGTGACGCCTCTCTTCGCCGTCTCTCCTGTGGCGTCTCTCTTTCTCCTCTACAAGACAAGCTTTCTTTTATCAGTAACTTTTTAATCATGTATACGTGTTCAGCGTTTCCTCAAATAAATACACCTAACAGAAGTTTTTTTATAGAATATTTTATTCTTAACCCTAACCCTGTTAAGACTAATACAAATACATGTATTATATGTTACCATAATAATTTATAAGATATCATTAATATAAATCACTGGTGTAGATTTTGTAATGATAACACACAGATATATATTTACCATAATCATTAATATCTTCCCCTTTTCCTTCTCTTCTTTCTCTCTTCAATCTTTCTCTTTCTTTTCTGATCTCATCTTTCTGTTAATATCCAAATTTGCTCATTTTAACCAACTTATAAGAAAACAGTGCATAAACCATGATAAACTGTTAAGTGTAAATATGTAAAGGAAGTGTACACCATCTTCAGTGTTTCTTCTTAATCATATTTCTTCGATAAATTGTAAAGTTCATGAAAAATAGGAGAAGGGCACCTGATAGGGAATCTGTTGTTATTAAAAAATTGTGACATTCTTTAGAGTACTTATTGGTTTAAATTTAAACCATCCAAATCAAGATAAATCATGAAAAGAATTTTTATCAATTCTTTAATATAAAAAAGTTTGCTGGATGCTGAAATTTTTTTTTACTCAAAACATCATATGGGCAGGTGATTATTTGTATACACAAGACTGATAAGTACATAATTATAGTTAAATGAGCTAGGTAGTTAATTTGTAAAATTGCTAAAAAATCTTCTTGGAAGCTGTTTCTGCGGAATACACAGTACCTTTTTAATTATTTATAAATTTGGCTAAAATTTGCATTCAGTGGGATATTAAATGGTTCTTAAGTGGGAGCAAAAAGTTCTAGAATGACCTCTGTAAAGAAAAAATTAATTAATAGCTATAAAATTTTTCTTTCTTACATTTAATGCCTTTTTGAGTTCATTGGTTGTCCATGTGTCTTCCTTTGAACGTGTCTACAATTATCAAGAAATCAATTATGATTTAGGAAACCAGTGCTTGTTAATTTAAAAATATGTAACACTGAAAGGAGAAAATGTCTGTTTGGACGGGAAATTGATCAAATGACCCCTGAATCACGAGTCAGGTGTTCTACTCAGACCAATATCCACAGTCTAAACCATAACACTCCTCCTTCTTTGAAAAAAAATAATGATAAATTCTTGTGTAAAAGGAGGGGAGAAAGTGTATGGCTGGACTGGAAATCGAACCCGGGACCCTTCCATCTCCAGTCACATGCTCTACCAACTGAGCTACCCAGGCCGATATCCACGGCCCAAACCATTACATTTCTCCTCCTTAAATGGTCTTTGGGCTCGATGACCAACTGTCTGAACAACACAAGTTCTTATTACCCCCTGGCAGGACTTTCACCTGCAGTTAATGTGGTGGTCAATGGCACCAAATCTGTAACAGGAGAGTGAGAAAATGTATGGCTGGACCGGGAATCGAACCCAGGACCCCTGCATCTCCAGTCAGGTGCTCTACCAACTGAGCTATCGAGGCCGATAATCCACGACCCAAACCATTACACTTGTTTAAAATGATAAAACCTAACAGGATAGTATTCTACATTTAAAATGTCATTGTGGATTCTGGTCACACATAAATCAATAAATATGGAAATGCTTTGATTTGAAAATATATTGCATAAAAGCGTTTAAGGTTTATTTTAATCAACATTTTTTGGACATTTCATTTAGGCCATAATAAAAATATTCCAAGATTCTCATCCCCGCCCGCCCCGATTTTATACCCCCGCCTCGATTTTTTTTATTTCTGGTTTTTTTTTGTCTTAATACTGATCGGGATTCATCTACCATTCTACTTTCGTTTTAAATCCCGCGAAAGTTAGTCTCGTTCAACAAGACCCTCGGCTGTCTCCGTAAATCTCCGACCAGCCAGAGGCTGCTGGTCGGAGTTTACGGAGACAGCCGAGCGTCTGGTTGAACGAGACTACGCGAAAGTCGACATGATTTTGACAGCTGAAAAGATGGTATATTGCTGTAATTAATACATGTGTATATATTTTAAACAAGGGTCATTGGTTGAAAAAGATCGGTGATGATGTGAAGTAAGAGATTATTATTCGGGTATTGTAGATAAAATTACACCGATTGACCAGGTCATTAAAAATCTGCAAAATTGAAAAAATAAAAAATATAAAATGAAAGCCGCCCGCTCGCCTCGATTTTTAAAAATATTCGGATGAGAATCTAGCAATTTATTTATTATGGCCTTATTTTGGTATTTTTAGTGTGATGAATTGATCTGTTTACAAATACCCCAATCGAACCAAGTTCTTTTACATATTATCTGCATGGCATAAAATTGTAGCAATCAGCTTAACAATTATTGTACACTTTAAATGTTTTTACCTTCTCTGAAGGCATTTTCGGTTGCCAAATCAAACGCTTAAACCGGTGATATGAAAGCTATTTTACCATCACTAACGCCGCCATTTTCAAGCTTTCCACAGGTATGTACGTAAATCGGAATGTGTAACGACATACTTTGACATGTTTGAGAAGGATGAAATAGAATTCTTATGATAATAATTTGAAAATCAGCATTAAAAATAAATGGTAATTAAATGAATATATTTTTAATTCAATATATAACTTTCTAACAAGAGATATGATTTTACGACATCAACATTTTCGCCTTCTTCCAAAAACTCTTCACAGCGCGAGATTGGAAAAAAAGTTTTGGCCACTTCCTAGTTTCTGTGTTTGGACAACATTTATACAGTAACACGTTTGGATGAATGCAAAATCTTATGAAATAATTCAAGATATGTAAGTTCTTATCATCTATTTTAGTGTTTTTAAATCATATTTAGTACATTACCTTACTTTTCATGGTTGGTAGTCGAGTAAATTCGAACGGTTACAGATTTTTAGCATTTCTAATGTACACAAGATGACATTTTTAGTGTATTTTATTTACAAGAATATTTTTTACATGGATTATAAATATTTGCTTTTTTCTTTAAAACAGATTGTCTATTCTGATAAAAAGAATATGTGGAGAATTTTGATTCTCCTGCTGTTTGGTGGAGGTGGTGTGAGAGCCTCTGTGAGTATCCAGCCCGGAGTGGAGACGCCATTAGATGTGGTGGTTGTAGGAGGGGGGATAGCAGGAATGGCAGCCGCTAGGAAACTGACCAATTCTCCAGAGAAGTATTCTGTCAAGGTCCTTGAGGCGTGCAAGAATAGATATGGTGGGCGTGTGTACACCGACAGAAAAGGGAGCGTTAGGGGTAAGAATAGTACTGAAGTGTGTTTGACACATTTAAATTATTTTTATTTTTTTAGAATAAGTAAACTGACAACAAATTCATATATTTTCATTCGCTGTGTTTTTTTACTAAGCCAACAGTGAAATTGATTTGAATACCATTTTCGTGTATACTCACATGTAGAAATATACACGGAGAAACGTGCGTTAACGTGATGTAACAATGAGACTGCAGCGACTTTAGTAAAAATGCAACGATATAGGGCAGCAAGAAATTGAAATAATTAGTATATTTTAGTTGCTTCCAAACATGTGAAATGTAAATATAAGGAATGTTTTAAAGGAAACGTCGGGTCTAGAATAACTTTTTGATATTTCTTTCATTGAATGGTCATTAATGAATTTTACTTTACACTGCCATTTGTTTTTACTTAATTATAAAGTAATAAGACATCAAAGTTATGAATGTACTGGCTGCTGGAGGCTGCCTTGTTGAGAGATAAAGTTATCGCGCTTGCTAAATATTTCCCACAATCCTCAATTTTATGATGTCTTTGGGGTACATTGGCTCTAAGTGTAAACATTATCATGTCGGAATCACATTGTGAAAATGTGACAACTAAGTGCTTGCAATTTCATTTTGGATCTGAATGTAATAAAGGAAATATAATTTCACATTCGTATGCTTGTAGTGTTTCAGAATTCAGGAAATAAAAGAAGGAATTAATAATAAAAAGCCATAAACTTGATAAACTTGCCGGGATTTAACTTTAATTAAAAAATAGCTGCAAAGGTTGTATATTTTACCTGATTTTAATTCAAACTTTTTAAAGTTCAAATGTACCTGAAGGATGATTCCATATAAATCTCACTAAATCATAGTGTGAATTGAAGTACTTGAAAAGAAGATTTTAAAAGGTTTCTCTATATATCACACACTATGTAAAACATCTGGCATTTAATCTGGCCCCACCCTAGCCAAGGTTTTCATGCTGCTCCAATTAAGCCAAACTTGAAATTTAACTGCTGTTATCTGCAGTGCATGATTCCACATGAGTTTTCTTTCCTGGCCCAGTGGATCTTCAGGTGACCTTTTAAAGATATTTCCTATATATTCGTGTGTTGTGTGTTGTGTGTCGTGCGTCGTGTGTTAACATTTAAACATTTTCAGCTTCTTCTCTGCAACCATTGAACCAATTTCAACAAATTTGGCACAAAGCATCTATGGGTGAGGATGATTCCACATGAGTTTCATCTTTCCTGGCCCAGTGGTTCTGGAGAAGAAAACCATTCAAATTTTTGCATATATTTAAAAATTTCTTCTTTTTTGGACATCAAGCAGTCAAACTGTTTGCATGATTGTAATCAAATTGAATCCACTACCATAATTGTGAAATTCATGGCCCTGGGGTCAGTGGTTCTAGTGAAGAAGATTTTTTAAATATTTTTCCTATATATTCCTATGAAAATGCATTATTTCTTTGAAAATCTTCTTCTCTGCTCCTGGGTATTAAATAAACAAACTAAGTACATACATGATGAGGATGCTTCCAAAATTGTGAATTTTCCTGGCCCAGTGGTTCTGGAGAAGTTTTGGTGTAAGGGTTTTTCCTATATATTATATATATAAAAAACATGAATTCTTTGAAAATCATCTTCTCTGCCCCTGGGTATTAAATAAACTAACTAAGTCTACACTACCTGAGGATGATTCCATAATTGTGATTTTCCTGGCCCAGTGGTTCTGGTGTGAAGATTTTTAAGATTTTTCATATATTCTATGTAAAATTTGGATTCTCTGCCATTTTGGCCCCAAATTGCCTAAGTGGTTATGATGAGCAAACTTGACTCTACACTATTGGATGCTTCCACATGAGTTTCAAGGGTTCTGGTGTGTGTGGAGAAGAAGATTTTTTAAAAATGCCATTAATTTTTAACAAATTTATGATTCTCTGCTCCTAGGTATTAAATAAACTAACCCTGAATAGTTATGATGAGCAAAGTGTCTCCTTCCAAAATTGTGAATTTTGTGCCAAGTTTGGTTTCTGGTGTTGGGGGGGGGGTTCTTGATTATATAGATGAAAATGTGAAAAGTTTAAAAATCTTCTTCACTGCTCCTACGATTAACAACAACAACTAAGTGCATAGTTATGATGAGCAAGAGTGCCTCAACCAAAATTGTGAATTTTATGAGCTAAAAGCCATAAACTTGATAAACTTGTTGGGATTTAACTTTAATTAAAAATGTAGCTGCAAAGGTTGTATATTTTACCTGATTTTAATTCAAACTTTTTAAAGTTCAAATGTGTCCAAGAAGGATGTTAATAAATCTCCTATAAATAAACAATTGTGTGAATTAGCTTATTTCTGTTATAAGATATTAATGATTGTTTTTTTTATATAGTGAAAATACATTAAATCTTTGAAAATTTTCTTCTCAAAGCGCTTTACAATACATATATAGTACCCCAGCAGACCTTAACAATCCAGAATTGTGAATTTCAGGCCCCAAGGGTCAGTGTCAGTGTAGAACACTAACATTCTGGGGGGGGGGGGAGGGGCTACCCCTTATATACTTGGGTGGATGAATTAATTGTTTGAAATCTGCCCTTTGTAAGGACAAACATTTATTTATTTTTTGCCAGGCAATTTTAAGGGTCACAACCTTTGTGCAATGTGTGGACCTAGGGTCAGGGGTTTTTGTCACAGTGTTAACCACTGGACTAGTCTACCGCTATTTCTCTGCAGTCACAAACACACTGACTCTATACATCTGGCATTTAATCTGTCTACACTACATCAGCAACGGCCATGATAAGGTTTTCCCCATGCTGCTCCAATTAAGCTATCAAAATCAAATTTAACTGCTGTTATCAGCAGTGCAGTGTTATATGATGCAGCTTTTCTTTTTATATGAAAGGTACTGTTTTATATATAGAAATTAAAATTCTGACCCAACGTTCCCTTTAAGTTTACTGTGAATTATTGGTGTGAGAATCACACAGACTTGCACGTAGGCATATTTTTCAATGAAGCGCGCTAATGCCCACGTGACAAGTCTGTGTGATTCACACACCAATAACTCACACAAAACTTAAAAACATTCCTTAAGTAGACTTAATCATGTTAATACAAAAGATACATGTACTTTTACCTGTGTTACTGTGTATTTTTGTTATTGAGGTGTGGAAGGAGATCTTGGAGCTAGTTTCTTGAATTCTGGAGTCCCTAACAACCCTCTGTTGGAGTTAACAAAATCTTTGGAGATTGCTGTTGAGTTGACAGGATTTGTACAGCTGTATGCTCCGAGTCAGAATAAAGTATTTACTCCTGAAGAAACTACTCATGTCTTCTCAGAGCTGCTCTCGGTAATCTCACTTTATTTTTACATTAGAATCAAAGTTAAGGAATTTAAGTATAACCAAGTGTGAGATCAAGTTCATTCAGATAATATAAGTATTTAGATGGAACGTTCATTTGACACAGGTGGTAAGGAAAGCTGTTGAAAAGGCATTTGTCAAGGGAAATGATCGCCCTCTTCCAGAGGCTGTCAAGGAGGAGTTGTCTTCCTTTAAGACTGATGTTGACAAATCTGTCCTGTCTGGACTGATATCCTCCCATTACGCTTTGTCCGAGGGAAACTTCTCTACAGTGATGTTTAGACCAGAGAAAGACTTTGGCTGGGACAAAGTAGTTGTTGATGGATTTGACCAAATTGTTGATGGGTATGTTCTGGTTCTTGGGGGAAAAGTATAAGAGTAGCATTAAAATTATTTTAAAAGGTTCAATAGACCAATCCACACTTTACAAAAGTTGTTTCCCTTTGTGGGGTCAACCAAAAGGTCAAAAGGGAAAGAAACAACATTTCTCCTCTTTATGCTACCAAACATTTGGGTGGGCTATGATGAATCCACTGTGTTTAAATTGTTTTCTTTGGATGTGTGGGTAGCCCCAACATCGGGCAATCAGTATGCACTATGCAACGATTTTTCCCAGTCAAATGACAGAGTTACAAACCTGAAAACTACAAAGGGTACTGTGAGGATTCTATGGGTTTATCCCCTAAGATGGCGGCCAAGGGACATAACTTTTGAAAAGTGTGGATTCAACTATTATAATTTTAATAATAATGTAGAGAATATTTGTGATAAAGAGGCCAACCCTGCAAGACATACATGTACATTTTCCACCATTAGACTGATTACTAAGTATAGCTATGGATTTAAGTTGGACTAATTATTATATGTCTTTAAAAATACTCATATACAAAACTCTGTACCATTTTAGTAGTATTGCATCTTTATGTATGTGTTTTTCTTTCTCTTTTAGTATTGTCAGTGGTGAAGGGACAGAATTTCCAATTGCTGTTGAACTAGAAGCCATCGTACGTCAAATCACATACGACAAGAAAACAAAAAAGTACAAGGTTCGTACGTTTAATCGGGAGCAGCACGAGGCCGACATAGTAATTGTGGCAGTACCACTGGGAATTCTACAGAAGGGGGAGATCGTGTTTGGTGATCCTCAGAAAAAAAGTAAAAGTTCCGTAGCTAATATGCCAGACACATGGCACGATACCATACGAAACAAGTTAGGTAAGAAGATTCTTACTGAATGCACTTAACATGCTACAAAAAAATATTGTATGTGTACTTATTTTAACTTGTTAAGCATTTTAGAGAAAATGTAGGTTTGGACAATAGATGAACACAGTCTATTGATGGATTTATTGTTTACAGTTTGTTCACAATTTTGACACTGTACCACTTTCTGATAACAGGAGTAAGTTTCTCCAACAAACTTGTGGTGGAGTTTGATGACATCTTCTGGCCTCCTGATGTGGGTGTTTTCACCATGGCAACAGACGATGAAAAAGAGGCTGGTTTTCTCCAGACCTGGTTCAATCTACACAGACTTATCAATAAACCAGTGTTGATGGGGACCATTGTGGGACCTATTGCTAAAAATTATGAGAGCTGGACTGATGATGAAGTTAAAAACAAAGGTTTGGACCGAGATTATTTTTATTTTCCTGACCGAAAGACTTATACTTAAATGTTTTTTCATCCATAAAAAATCACTCTTAACAGACTTCAAGAGAAGGAGATTTCATTTCAGTTATGGAAAACCTAGAGAAGATTTTTGGAGCACAAGTACAGAATAAAAGTATCAAACAGATAAAGAGGTCTGCCTGGCAGGAAAATGTAAATACCAGGGGGGTCCAATCATTTCCAAGAGTAGGTTAGTAGAATAATGGTTTGTTCAGATAGACTTCTGGATCTATGATTTATTTATAGTGATGAAACAAATCTCACTTATATTAACAAAATACAGTCTTATTATAACCCTTAACATCAATTTCCTATGGTAAACAGTGTCTGTCAGTGCATTTTGAAGTGTTTTTCACTATTTATGACTTGGATTGTACTGTAGGTTTCTAATTTTATGGGAGGAATTAATTATCGCATACCGGTAATTTCACAAGAAGCATCAGTCATGAATTAAAATTACTCGCTTTATTAGTCCCTGATATCTGAATCACAAGTTAAACAAGACAAAATAACATTTAAAAATTTGGCATATAGCATCATTGAAAAATCGTCCGGATAAGCAGTCAAACTGTTGGTATGATTGTAATCAGCATTGGTCCTCTATTGTGAAATTCATGGCCCCAGGGTCAGGGATTCTAGTGCTAGGGCATATCTTTATTATATAGAAGGTCCACTGTATTAACAAAATACAGTCTTATTATAACCCTTAACATCAATTTCCTATGGTAAACAGTGTCTGTATATATATATGTGCATTTTGAAAATGTTTTTCACTGCATTTATGACTTGGATTGTACTGTAGGTTTTGAAATCTGTTCTTAATTTTATGGGAGGAATTAAAAATTTTATCGCATACACAACTGGTGGTTATTTCACAAGAAGTAACCAAATTAAGCATGCTAAATGTATAGTTATGATAAACAATGGTGCCTCTTTCAAAATTGTGAATTTCAAGGCATTTGGTTTAAAATAGTCAAACCAAATTCTTTATTTTTATAGTGCTGAAATCCATGTTAATTCTCTTGATCAACCAACCATTTGCAAATAATTATTCTCATGATTTGATGTAAAAGAGCCATTTTGCCATAATAAGTACCAGCGAAAAACAAGGAATCTACAGTATGGGACACAACCTAAATTTCTATTTGATTATAAAAGAACTTCATTTACCTGGGCAAAAGATAGAAATTAGTGACTGTAATCTGCTTAGTACATTATACAATAATGGAAGTTAATTTTTTCAGGGACTACAGCAGAACACCTGAAGATTTTATCAGAACCGCGATGCCCGGGACTTTACTTTGCTGGAGAATACACTATAGTGGAGCACCTGAGTACAGCCCACGGGGCCTATATGTCTGGTATCAGAGCAGCAGACCAGGTTCTGTCAGGGTACTGCCAACAACAGGAGGAGGAGAGGAAGAAGGCAGAGAAGAAGAAAAAGAAGAAGAAGTCGGAGAAGGGAGAGGAAGACTCAGACAAGGAGGAGGAAGAGGAGGATACAGATAGTGAGGAGGAGAGGGAAGTATCTGTCAAACCAAAGAAAAGTAAGGAACGGATCATACTGTCTGAGGAGCGGAGGAAGAAGGCCCAGGAGAGGGATGAACTGTGAGAGATATGGTCAAATAAAAGGAAGTGTTTACAATGAAGGGAGATTAGTAGGGTGTGATTGTTGAGTGGGGGAAAATTATGTGTCAGGTGATATATGGAAGTACCCATTTGATTTGTAGAAATATTGACTTGGTTCATGAAGCATCATAAAAAAATCTGTCATTCTGAGTGCCATATGTAACTCTTCCATGATCTTCATACACTGATCTGCTTAATATAGAAATCAAGAAATTCTAAAGAAAAAATACCCAGAATTTGTATTTGGTCAAAATCTAAACTAGAATTACAGTTAGTGGTACTAGTATTTAAAGTCGTTTTGCAAAATTATGAGAGGAAGAGTTTTCATAGAAAACTTAAAAGAAAAAAGAGTTTAACAGTACTCACAGCAATACAAGAATACATAGAAAATTTGTTCATTTTTTAGAATATACACATACCGGTATTTATTACAAATACCAGTAGTAGAATGACAGTTCTGAAAAGATTTACATATATGTATACATTTGATTTGTGAGAGAGGACTTGAATACTTATCATGCCTGAGGCAAAAGAGAGTAACTGTTGTTAATATTGTTCCATTTTTCCTCGGTGTGGGTTGTGAGTGCTTGTATTACTACTACTTACATTTTTTATGTACTTGATTTAGCATTTATCAGGACGCATATGTTCATTTGTGTGTGTGAAATCTACAAGTAATATTCATGTAATCCGGAATTTTTCGTAATTATCATCTTTTCATTTCCGACATTTTTTAGTTTTCATTTCCGACATTGTTTTGCTTTCATTTCCGACATTTTTCTGATAGTACTTTTAGTAACAGATTTGAAGACTTAACCTATGAAAAATTTAAAGGAATACAAATCACAAATTAATCATTGAAATCCAATTTCTAAGTTTTTGTAAAATCAATGAAACGACTGTGAAAATGGAAAATGCCTAATTAAAGTTTGAGCAATTGATTCAATGATGTTAACTCTTCGCAGATGTAAAGCAGAAAAAAAGACTTAGTGCCACATGTATGCAAATACACGTGTATGTATAATAAATGGATTTATATATATATTTATCTATACGAGGGCCGTTCAAAAATTATGCGTACTTGTTGCACAGAAAAAATATTTGACAACATAATGGGGCAAAATGTCACACATAATATAAAAGAATCTTTACTTGTATGGTCTTCAAAATTTCATATCAAAATATTGTAAATCGGTATCAATTTTGAGTGATTTTTTCAGGACATATCATTGAGTCACAGAGCAGCAAAATCTTCGATGTCACAGGCATTATAAAAAAAATATGTGATTGAGCTTTCATTTTCTCAACATTTTTCAAAGAGTATCTGTACAGTTTGAGTTACCTTATCTACTCAACATCCAAACACCATTTCTTGTCATGACAAGCTTAAAATCTATTAAACAAGTAAAGAATATTTTTTTTGTTTTAAAACCAAAAACTATGTATTATTTAGAGAACTCGACAGGTTCTGTATCGTAGATACAAATTTGGGGGCAGACGAGTGCGGAAGCAAAGTCTCCGCCCCCAAATTTGTATCTACGATACAGAACCTGTCGAGTTCTCTAAATGATTTGTGACACGATCAATCAAAAATAGCTCCGCCCACTTTATAACTTTGCAGCATCCAAACTTCCGCCAGAGTTCTGTAGATGAGGCCCCGACGGGGAGTACGCATCCGCAGTATATATATTTCCACGGAAAACGTAAAATTCGGTCAGATTTGTTTTGACAATTTAAGGGGGTAGACGTAATCGAGTGATAGTCAGTCTTGATGGATAAATTGGAGGATTTAACCGTAATTGTTGTGATCTATTGTTATAATTGTAGATGGAGATTTATCATAATTTATTTCAGGGGTCTTAATCCCGGGTTAACTAGATTTACAAAAACAGGATTTACAGAAAATTCTTCGATGGACTTTGATGTCAGGGATTTTTATTTTCAAACTGAATTGCGACATTAAAAACGGAGTGAAAGAGACGTGTGACTGTCGTCAGCGAGAAGGATTTTTTCCGTGATAGCGAATTTTCTGTTTCGTGTGGATTGTTCAAAATTAGGTACAGAGGATGTTTTCCGTTATTGCGATTTTTTTTTACTTTCGATCGAAATTACGTGTAGATTCTGTGTGGAATAAGTTTTTAGAAAGTGATTGAGAAATTTTGACATTCTACATTCTCAGGAAAATACCGGGTATTTCTTAAAAATTAATAATAGGAAAACATCAGTATTTATTATGTGTACGTGCTAGCTTTGCTAAATTGAATCAGATTTATTTTTAGACCGTGCTGTATTTTAGATACAGAATAGTTGGCAAATACAATACTGTATACAAGGCTAATGCAGAACGGAAAGTAGCTCCGCCCACCACAGTCCCGTTCTGTATTGCTAATACAGAACAGTAAACTTCAAAGAAAAACACCGCTATCGTGTCACAATTATGAGATATAGTGTGGCATTGGTGACTCTCAATCACATTCTTCACAGTCCGGATAAAGTTTACGTCGATAATCTTCTTCCCGTCCTCCCATATATAGCCTAAACAGAGTACGATAGAGTACTTTAGAGTACGCTAGAAAAATTATGCTATTTAATGCAATAAAATTGTTTATTTATGTATGTACAACTTGATTAAACATTATTATAAACTTATATTGCAATATTTGTTTCAAATATTTGTTTTTAGCGATATTTTGACAAGAAAATAACATACATAATTCAAGGCATTCAAGATTACTAATACCCCAATCTCGATTACTATTTTGTTTCAGACTTACTTACTAAAGACTTGCAACCAAGTTTTATCAAATATTGAATTAATTGCGTGTGTTAATATATTGCACATTCACAATGAAACATTTCAACATGTTCAAGTTAAATTAGATCAGGATCAAAGTTACAATGAACCGTAACCTGAAATCAAAAATGTGAAATAACTATGGATGGGTATCGCCAAAAATTTCGTATCGCGATATATCACGATTTTTTCCCACAATATCACGATAATATCGTGATATTCTTAAAAGCAGTTTTTACAATGATTTTATATGAAAAGTAATTATTTTTCTAAAAAATATGCTAGAAAAACAAAATTTTACTTTCTTGAAATTTTTATGTATATTAAATCAATTATGTTTGGACAGTAAGATGCCGTCCTTTTCACTTTTTACAACATTTTTTATACTTTCTGTAATTGTAATTTGAAAAATTGAACAAATAAATGATTAATTTCGGGACTTTATAATATGTACCTAAAGACCGGTATTTAGATCTCCTTATCACAATACGTATCACACAACAAAAAATCGCGATACACCGGTATACCGATAAAATCGCACATTCCTAGAAATAACTCCTAAAATAAGGAAAACGTGCACATTTTATTTAAAATATATATTCAATATGTTAAACTTAAGTAGAAATACATACAAAGCATTTTAATTGCATTAAATTATAAAATATTACTAGCGTACTCTAAAGTACTCATTCATACTAGCGTACTCTGTTTAGTAGGACTGCCTTTTTACAGAGGTCTAACAGTCTAAAATTTCAATTTGCTATTTGTGGACGAATGTCACGAATACCCTAGTTTACTACATGTTTTATTATGCATATTTTGGATCTATGTTGGCGATATCTCGAAAATTACACAGAATTTAACAAAAGTGTGGTGTGCCGTCAATTCAGGAGACGTCATTTTCACAGTCGTTTTCATGGGAATCGCATCAGAGAAAAATCACTATATTTCTGTTAGTACTTCAAATATCACGTCAGAAATCTAAATACATAATAAAAGAACAATTTAAAGATACATTTGAAAAAATTGTCGAAAAGTATCGCTAATTATTGAAAATTAATGAGTTAAATTTTGGATTCCGCATGCTTTTGCTTCAAATTTTTTGTCATGCTCCGTACCTCTTCATCAGCGATATCAACATACCGATAATTTTAGTAGAATTTTTTTAAAATAAGAAAATTTTGCCCAAAATTTATTGGAATCTTTAAGATACATATTTCTCTGAAATTTCATAATATATGACGTCTATAAGAGTAAATAATAGCACAGTCCGCGTAATTTTTGAACGGCCCTCGTATATATATATATTAATCAATATCTTGCAATAAATACTTTTAAAATTTCATTTTTGCTGACTAGGAAAACAATAAATTGCTGCACAGGTAAACTCCGGAAATGAAAACAAAACTATGTCGGAAATGAAATTTTAAAAGAATGTCGGAAATGAAATTAAAAAAATGTCGGGAAATGAAATGCAGCAAATCAGGGGAAGACCACAATTTTTTTCTAGATGTGGAAAAGATAATTCTCAGGTGATTTAAAAGCATTTCATTATAAACACTCGTACTTAGACATATTTATACTAAAATTTGTCAATACATGCAAGAATATGATTTAAAATAATGAAAAAGAAATGATTTTTCATTTAAAATATTTTTCACATAAAGGTCTAGAATGAATAGCATTTTTATGCATTTAAAATGCTTGCAAATTAGTGTTTAATAATGAAAGGTTTTGCAGTTTAGGGATGGCATTACTGATAATGTATTTTGGGGGATGAAAGCTAAGGCATGTGTTCTACAATTTAAGTTTATGATGAACATGAGTATCAATGAAATTATTTTGGATTCTTCTATGGTTGTTTACTTGCTGGGTTTATTGACCTCTCAACCGAAATCTAGTGTTTCTAAAATATGTGTTCCATAGAATGTGATATTGCCATTGTTTATTTAATTTGATATTAACTGTTATCACACAATCTGTTATTTACAAACCAGATACAGTAATCAAGATTTTGTCATGAATTCTTGAAATAAATAGAAATCATGTATACCCGTACATATTGTCTGTTAATGTTTCCTCAGTGTTATTTGATAATCAGTATAATGAGTGTGGTACTTCTCCTCTTGAAATTTTTTTTTAGTTTTTACCAATTCATCTGATTCCTTAATGTTGCCCCAGAGACCATTATTTGAACATGGACTTGCCTTTTTTCCAAAAAAAAAAGAAGCTTTTCCCAATATATATATCCACCTGTAACAGCTTTACCTTAATGTGACTCACCAAAATTGAATAGACTGTGAATCGATTTTCAGGACATGTCCAAGATGCTTGCATATATTAAATATGACTATTAGTGGTTCTGCTATTCTTGAGAAGAATACTTATAAGTATTCGAAATTAAATAATAAACTACATGAACCCAGTAAACACACTTTGAAGAGGGGCACTACCCTTCTTGAAAGGGTGGAGGGAACTTGCATCTTTTTCATCCATGGATACTTTGTGCAAGGAATTCCTAGGTACTTCAAATTTCATTCATGAATTTAAGTCACATTGGTATGGTATGTACAAGATACAGTTACAAGTATGTTGACCAATTTATTTGGATATTGGTGCCTAAATAATGGGGCTACTGAAGCAAGGTACCACTGACCTTGAAATCATTTTAATCATACTGACATATTAAGGTTCCTAAAAATATATTTGTTTTAGAATTTTTTAGTTAAAGCGGCACAGTGAGTCAAAATCATATCTTAATTTTAAGATTCTGTAGCATACAGAGAAAGACTTACGAAAATTATGAGTATATAGCGAAGATATGACAATTCAACTGCAAGAATTGACTGCACAATATAAGTGCCGGAAAAACAAAGGTTGTATTAACCGTTTCGTTGTTTCGTATGTGTCAAGGTCACCCTACTCTTATTTTTAGCTCAAACTTGTAAACAAAATTCAACTGGAGCATGCAAAGGTGAGAAATATGTTCTAACAACTTTTTAAAAAGATTGCATCAAATTTTTTGATTTACTTATATTCATTCGTGGATACCTGAGACCATGGTAACTATGGAAACTTATTAAACACTTTTCTGCGCACGCATATGATAGGAAGGAAGAAGTACCAGGGTATTTTGCAATATTTTCGTTCTGGGGCAGACAGAAATTATTTTTACTTTTATTTTTCCCCATAAAATTTTAATTTTTTGGTTCTGAAACCTGTAATTTTCTGAAACCTAATACTTTAAGGAATTGAACAAAATTTACAGAGGTCATGCGAAAATTCTACATTTGTCAATTTTCCCCCTTGTGCGTCACTGTGCCACTTTAAGTTAATTAGTTTAAATAAGAAATAAGGTATCAATTTCTGAGTTTTATTGGGATGTTAAAAGGGTTGGTCACATGATCAAATCCAATAAAGCCCGAAGGTTTTTATGGAAGATTTAATTGATCATGTCCCAACCCGTTTTACATCCCAATAAAACTCGAAAAGTGATGCCTTATTAGGTATAATTCATACCGGTACATGTATTTACATTTGTGACTGATTTATTACAAATAGTAAGGTACTTAAGTTTTAAATCCATAAAGGATTTATTTTTTCAAAACTCAACAGTATAAATTAAATGTGTTGAACACTTTGATCACTTACATGTATAACGTCACTATGAATTAAATTACGTAGATCGCTTATGACTAAAAGATCAATTTATGATCACATGATGAACGTGTTTTACATTGGTGTAAAAATGCCATATTCAAACAGTTTTATACAAAGGCAAACACTTGCAAATGTAAATATAAGCATTGAATTCATATTTTGGGATGTCTTCGGTCCTATAACACACCTGGCCGTGCCGACAAATTGAATACCGCGCCGTATGATAATTTGTTGGCACGGCCAGGTGTGTTATAGGACCACAGACATCACAGAATATGAAATCAATGCCTATATTTATATTCTCTAATTTTTCCTCTTCTTAATTGTTATACCCCCCGCAAACGAAGTTTAGGGGGGGTATATTGGAATCACCATGTCCGTCTGTCCGTCTGTCTGTAGACGAGACTTTGTCCGGACCATTACTCAGAAACTATTGGAAGGATTTGTCTGAAAATTTGTACACATTTTATTCACCATATGAAGTTATGCACCTGATATTTTTCATCTTGATTGGATTATTATTTTGAATTTTACAGGTGTTTTTTCATTTTTATTTTGGGGTTTTGTTTGGACCGTTTCTCAGAAACTATTGCAAGGATTAATCTGAAAATTTGTACAATTATTATTCACCATATGAAGTTGTGCACCTGGAATTTTCAACTCTTTTTGTTCATTTTTCTGCATTTTACAGGTTTTTTAAAATTTTAATTGACTTGTTCATTTTGGGCTCATGTATAAGGTTTGAGACATAGAATCTAGAATATCTGTACAAAAACATGAACTACAGCTTAAAACTACTCATAAAAACTTAAAAAAAAGAAACATCAAGTGTTAAAAACAGTTTTTACATTGCACAGAAGATAATGTAATTTCATTTGTCTCTTGGGAATAATGACTGGACATGCATCCAGTTAAAGATAAATTAATGAGTTTGGTGTTGGAAGTTGTTTAGGCATATCTCTTATCAAGTGTGTGTGTGTTATCAAATCTTCAGGGAATAAGGCACAAGAATTAAAGATCTCTCTTCTCTTATTCTCTTAATTGTAATTTATTGTCTGTCAAAACACTTCATTACTGGATGACCAGTTCTTTATTTTTAAAATGCATTTCAAATTGATATATCAAGATTAATTTGATTTTGTATAATGGTTTCTTTTTTCAACAATCAGTTTGCAGAGTGACATAACACATAATTGCAATATATTTTTTTAATGCAGTAATGAAGAAAAATTAAATGATAAAAATAAAAAAAAATGTTACAATGGAATTACAATGTATTAGTATTGATGTTTCATTTGGTTGCACCTCCGTTTCATTCATAAAGAAACATGATGAGCAATTTTATTTCACTGCAAATTTTTTTAAGTAAATTGTGAACATCTCTAGATCCATAAAGTATTTTTGAATTAGCACCTTCTCTGAAAAACCCAGCGGGGGGTATTTGTCCCTATTGGACAGTTCTAGTTTATTTTGGTAATATAAATGTGGGTAATCTAAATGTGAATTTAGCGCCCTTCAAAACTGGTGTGCTTTATTGACACAAGAGCCATTTGTGATGTTGCAAAGTGAAATAACGCAAACGAACATTGTGAGGAAAAAAAGTTGAAAATTACTTTTAAATGCACCTTTGTGACATGACCCGGCGAGTTTTCCTTTGAAGTCAAGCATACTGTAACTGCGATACAGAACACTTTTTGTGGGCGTTTCTTATGCAAATGAGCAGAAACTGTACTGTATCTGCAAAATATCAACGATACAGTACGGTTTATTTTTAGTCATGACGGAAAGCTGTATCTGTAATATACAGACACAAAATCGTTCAATTAGCATGATACATGTAGCACTATTAGTATTTACTCAAAATTTGAGGTGAATTAAGAATAAAATTTTACAACGTAAATTTACTAGTGTCGGATTCAAAAATTTAAGATAAGAGTGAGTGGGGCAGTTGTTCACAAAAGACTACTTTTATCCCCCCCCCCCCCTCTAAAAAAAAAGAAACAATGGAAAATCGTATTTCGTGGGGTTAGATTTATACTTAACCAAGACACTATGTGCGTGATATCGTTACTTGTTGATAAATTAAATAGCGTATGTATACAAGTTTACCAAATATCATTTACGAAAGCGAAAAAGAAAAAAAATCAAGGAGGGTGGGATGGGGGGTGGGCACCAGTGATTACTCGGATCCCCATTTTATTAAAAACATGAAGTTAAATATGGATGGGACCCCTTCCTTTCATCTGTTTATTTCAGTTTAATATATGACGACCGGAGGAGGACATTGTCGGACATTTCTCTCAGATTACGTTCTCCCCGAAGCATTTTTGTTTAAAAATATTCCTCCAAGTTCCTTATATATCAAAATGTTTTGCATTAATTAAGTCGAGGCTTAAATTAAAAAAAAATGTCAGCAAGAGCTGAATAGAGAAAAAAGGCACTAAGTAATAAAATCTAAATTCAGTTTTTTGGGAAACAAATTATATTATGCATCCACTAAATATTTTTTTTTAAATGATAAATACCTGCACGTCCACCTCACTCGACATTTCAGTTGCGAATGTTTAAAATGGGATACTTAAATCAGCTTTCTGCAAAATCATCTGATTGGTTGAGTGAATTGTACCCAAATACGCATGATAATTAGTGAGGTCATAAGAAAGGTCATGTCACAAGTCATTTAGAATACTCGTTTCCTACTGTATCAGAAATACAGGGCGGGGTCCGGCTCGAGCTATCGCTCTCGCCTCAAGCCCCGCCCTGTATCTCTGATACAGTAGGAAACTCGTACTCTAAATAATACTTGTTGTATTTTTACTTTAATTTAACAGTTAATTTATACCTGCAGTTAGTAAGTAAGATGTAAACTTAGGGCCATGAAGTGCTAGGTACAGATAAACCTTTATCTTACACTGACTGTGGCAGCAAATGCCAGCAATCATTCTTGATACCCAGAAGAATTACAAACGCTGATTAAAAAAAAAATATTAAAGTCACAGAATTTATTTCAGTAGCATCAAAGTTAATATATCAGCAATGTCAAGAACAGCTGAGTGGTGGAAATGTATACGTACCTTGTAATTTATTCTGTCATGCAGTTGCAAATCAACAAAGGAAAATAAATAACATTTTCAAACATTTCCATTACATGTAAACATTTCACATGTATTCCAATTTAATTTAAAAAAAAAAACACTTTCATAAAACTGTCTCATAAATAAAAAAAAAAAAGTAGGACATATTTCGTAGGGCATTACAAGGTTCTTTAAAATTTGACAATTTTTTTTCAAGATAATTTTTTTTTCATCTATGAAACTACATTGAATATGAAGATATTAGTTAATTAAACATAAAATAAATCTCTTGTTTATGTATAAGAACATCATAGGAGTTCAATGTCTTCTGCAATCTCTAAGACAAATACATGTGTACAGATGTATAAATATAAATATATGTACACCTCCCTTATAGAAGTCTTTTTAAAGGTACCAGAAATGACACAGTATTAATTTGGTATAAAATACGTTAATACTCACTTTGTTCGGAATGAGTAAATAGCTATTGTTTTTGACATCTTTTAAAAAACAAGCAATTCAAAGATCAATTAGTTCTATTTAGCAATATATATACAAATAGCTAAGTTGATAAAGGGCACCACATTAAAATGAGGAACCACTTGAGGTGGTGCATCATCTTCACATGAAACATCACTTCAAAGTTATTGCATCACATTTAAATGTCACTTTTATACAGTCATCTACTTTTGTAGGTCATGCACCACCGTCAAATTTGACAATACTTAATAAAATGTCCTTAGTGTTACCCCCCTAATAAATCAGGGTACCACCTCAGTGCACCACCTCTTCATGAGATACCATCTGGTGGTCTAACTTCTCCTCTGGTTCCTCCACTTCGTCGAATTTGATCTCTGGCGACACACATTCCTCTTCACACACTTCATCCGAGTCAATTTCTGACTTCTTCAGCAGAGCTATCTCCTTCTTCATCAGGGACACCTCTCTTTTGAAACCCTTAAGCTGGAGTCTCATTGTCTTCATGTGTTTATGAATGTCCACGTATGCGTTTTTAGGTGGGACCCCCTCGTCCCCCTTCCCACAAATCAGACACCCCCGCGTGCTCTCCTTGGCGTGTTTCCTGAAGTGAGATTTGAGGTCGTCTGCCTCGAGGAAGCACTCTCCACACTCCCGACAGCCATAGGGGCGATCCCCGGACGTTATCTTCACTCGCCGAAGGAGATCCATTTTTGCTGTAAATAAGGTTTTACAAGCATCACATCGACCAGGAATATCCTCGGCGTGCATTCTCTCTACTTCACAGTCCGCTGAGTGAATACGGAGGTGAAACTGAAGACTTCGCTTGTGGAGAAACTGCTTGTCACAAATACCACACCTGAAAGGCTAAAAACCAAACCCATATTACAGCATTACTATCAAAGCAGCATTCAGCCCAGGTTTATGAAATGTTAATTTTTGTAAAAGACTTTCAAATTTTAAAAGTAAAATGTTCATTTAGGCAATAAATACGTATACTTGTACAGTATAATTTGTCCAATCCGGCTACCGCCGGTTCCATAAAATTTGGCCGGATTAGACAGAATCCGGAGTGCAGGAAAAATGCAGGAAAATATAGATTTCGAAAATTTTCGTTGTTTATTTACAAGTACATCATATACATATTATAAATAAAATTAAATGATGAAATCAATTACTATTTTGGAGTCTAGAAATTATAAAATAGTCTCACATGACTGACTTTATTTTCTTATTTGTTCACGAAGTTTGAAAGTCGGGTGAAATGTTTCCTCAATCAAAATATACAGGCACGCATAATATAGGCCTACTAAGTATCAAGCGTACCGGGTTTCGCTTGTCAAAGACCTCATTCAATGTATTGACAGTAATGCACAATTATTTACGATTTGCTAATTATTATATTGAACTTTTAATTTTATGTAAAAATTTACGTCTTCCCCCACAGTGTCATGGCGCCATTTTGAATGCGTTCGATTTTCGATCCCGATTTATATTTTGATTTGTAAATCGCGTACATATATGTTTGTGTTTATGTTATAATGTGGTAAAAGGAGTTAAAACAAAGTTATTTTTTTTTAAATTGTAATTTAATCATATAATATATTTTTCAAGTGGACTGTGTCACCGCCGCATTTCACCGAGTTCGTCTCATGGCACTAATAATCATGCTAATGTAAACACAGATTATCACATTCCTCACGAAAGGTGTTAATTGCTTTGAAGTAACTCAGGTGTGGCCGGATTAGAGGGAATAATTACCGTTAATTATGAGCAGTAGGGACCAGTATGGCCGTTCGGAATACAGAATAGACAGTATCCGGACTACACAGAATTTTTTAAAATGAATTTGTTAAAGAAGTGCATGGGACTAAAATTTACGGACGGAATGGACAAAAGTCCGGAGTACTCAGAGTCCGGATTAGACAAATTTTACTGTATAATCTGATACAAAATAAAGATTTGTAATGTCTGTGAGCATTTTAAATGTTCACAGAAATTTTATCCTTTATGAGACAGTCTACTTGTATAGTATTTTCAGGTAATACCTTACCTTTTGCCCGGTATGTTTACTCTGGTGTCTGCACTTTACCTTTTGTCCGGTGTGTTTACTCTGGTGAGCCTTTAGGGAGTGGAGCTGTCGGAACGTCTCGTCACACACCCCACATTTGTATGGACGGTCCCCCGTGTGGAGTCGGACGTGAACCTTGTAGTTAGAGGAGTAACTGAACGACTTCCCACACTCCTCACACTTGTAAGGCTTCTCACCTGAAAGGAGTGACTACAACTGTTAACTAATAATGTGTCAATAATATTAATGGATCTCATAACTGGGAAAGAATAAAGTTCTTAAGGATTTCAGAAAAAACATGGAGATGGAAATAAGCTGGATCTCAAAAACTCTTTGATGTTACAATAATCTACCTGGTACACAGCAGTGTTTTCATGAATGATTGACGATGAATTTTTTGCTGAAAATAGGTGATTATGCTTACCTGCATGAATCCTAAGGTGGTTTTGTAGATGTTCATTTTTAACAAAGGTCTGACTACAGAACCAGCACTTGTAGGCAGGGTTAGTGATGTGGATCTTCATGTGAGCGGACAGGGCTGTCTTGTCCCTCACCGCCTCGTCACACACCGAGCATTTCACCGTGGAGGGGCGGTTATGAATCCGGAGGTGACTCTGAAGCGGACCCCTCCCACTGAACGTCTTGGAGCAGTGGTCGCAGTGGTAGGGCCTGTCCCCCACATGTTTCTGTATGTGCTTCTTCAGCTCGGACTTGGTGTGGAACTGGTCACAGAAGGCACACTTGTAGACGGGTTCGTGGCTGTCCTCGTCCACCGTGCTGACTTCCTCCGTCCTCACCACCTCCCCCACCTCCTCCTTCTCTTCCTTAGTTACCTCCCCCACGTGGTCAATAACGTGGTTCACTTCCTGGTCGACTGGACCGACTTCCTGGTTGGCTGGTTTCTCTTCCTGGTCCGTGTCCTCGGCACTGCTATAGGCCCCCTCCATGTCTGACATAATCTTCTTATGTTTTGATAATGACACATACTCGTGCTCAGTCAGCGGATCTCGCTCTCTCTTCAGTCGGTTTTTTTCAAAGCTTGCTTTTTCTTCACTGGCTATGATGCTATCTCTCATACCTGTAAGAATCATACAAAGTTGTTACATTCTTATTCCAATATTGCATAAAATACTTCATAAATGATGATGATGTTGAAATCCTAAATTGGGGGATAATTCATCTCAATTGAAATTTAGATGAATTAACATGCTGTTGTATTACATGTATTTCAAATCATGGAGGCAAATTTTTACGGATTAAAAAACAATCAATACTCATTTATCAAAGACAAAGACTACAAATCAATTATTTTGTTCAATTTTGGGACACAGTAATCACAAATTTGCAAAAATTGCACATCTCTTATATATCCATGATTTATTTAATACATGATATACCTAAACTGTATACAGTGACTTGGTGACTTGTAGATGAATCTTTTACATATATTTCAAAGATTATTTTGTTGAATTAAAACTTGAGTATTTACCTACACTCTATATAATGTGACTTGGTGACTTGTGAATAGATTTATGATTATTAATCTTGTTAATATAGAGTGACTTGGTAACTTGTCAGTGCAATATTTACCTTGTTAACTGTATAGAGGGACTTGGTAACTTTTGTGTAATTTTTTACCTTTATTGTATAGTGTGACTTGGGACACATGAGTACATTATTTGCCTCTACTGTATAGAGTGACTTGAATACTTGTGTTTTACCTGTACTGTATAGAGTGACTTGGTGACTTGTGTTATACCTATACTGTATAGAGTAAATTGGTGACTTGTGAGATATATAGAGTGATTTGTGAGTAGATGTATAGATCAACTTGGTGACTTGTGAGTAGATGTATAGAGTACTTATGAGTAGATGTATATAGTGACTTGTGAGTAGATGTATATTGACTTGTGAGTAGACGTATAGAGTGACTTGTGAGTAGATGTAGAGAGTGACTAGGTGGCTTGTGAGTAGAAGTAGAGAGTGACTTGGTGACTTGAGAGTAGACATATAGAGTGACTTGTGAGTAGATGTATAGAGTGACTTGTGAGTAGATGTATAGAGTGACTTGTGAGTAGATGTATAGAGTGACTTGAAAGTAGATTCAGAGAGTGACTTGGTGACTTGTGAGTAGACATATAGAGTGACTTGTGAGTTAATAATTTACCTAAGAGAAGACTGACTCCTTCTGTATCATGGTCATGAATGGAAACTGGATCAACAGTGTTACATTTCTCCACTGTTACAGGAGTCACCTGTCAAAGTTCAAAGGAAAATAAAACATATTTATTCACTGGTGTCAAAATTAAAATATTAATACAATGTATTTCTCTAGTCTGTGTGGGAACCTGTCAAATATCGAAGGTTAATACAGTGAAATGCTGTGTATTTCAAAATCTTCTCATAGTCCCTTTCAAAATTTCACTGTTCAAAATATTACTATCACTGAAAGTTGTATAATCCTCTATTTTCTGTGAAACTGGCTGCCTGCCCAGATTAGACAAGTTCAACTATACAATTCATTTCTCTCCTGAGCTGAGATCAAATTTCACAGGTTAATAAAATAATAACTTTTAATTCATTAAAACATCCTGATGATGAGCATCAAATTGATAAGAATTGTAGTTTAAGAAACTAAAAAATAAATAAAAATAAATGTTATTATTATTTGGAATAAATACAAACCTTTCCTTTGACAGATTCACTCAGCCCTGGTCCTTTGGATTCTTCAGCTTTTTCGCTGTGGGGAAAAAATTATAACTGGAGCAGTGTTCAAAAATCTAAATGAAATGACTTATTTCAAATATTTATCATTGAGTTTATGCATGTGTCACTTGCCAATGGTCATGTGCTGGTTAAAAATTCACTAGTCTCAGGGGTTTGGCTGTAGGATTTGTCTGAATGTCAGTCTGATAGTCAATTTCTCAAGAATAAATGTGATCATAATCATATAACGAGTCCGACAATTTCTCAAGAATAAAGCTAATGAACATCCCTATGCAGTGATGTACTTACCCAGCTGATGAAAAATTTCTTTCTGTGGAGTCAATCAGTCTCCCAAGTGCCTTTGAATCTTCAAATGAAGAGAGATGGTAAATAAATCTGTTATCTACTAAAACATGCATTCTGTGTTATCGTCCAATTCACAGCCATTGGTTACCATTTTTATAAATAAATTGCCAAATATGTGCGGATCCAGCCGTTTCCCCTGAAGCTAAGCTTTCTATAGATCACATCGGCAAAAACATGTAAGAAATTTCAATAATCATTGTACATTAACAGTAACGTTTGCCCCTAAGAGGTTAATCGATATTTAATGCTCAATGTTTAGCAATATGCTTCTACGAAATGTAGAACTGCAGCGTGTCTGCAAACAAACACTCACTATTTTAAAAATATGAGTACAACGTCGAAATGTTAACATTTAAATAATTAAATCTTACCCTTCCCTTCCATTTCTACATATAGGCAATGGTTTTGCTGTTGAAAACGACGGGGAAATGACAATTTTTGATAATAAAGTTAGGAAGGACCGCAAAAATTATCACCGGAAATGACAATGTACGAATAGCAAAAGAACCAGAATATTTATAAAGGCAAACAGCTAAAAGCCGGAAAGGGTCTTCAGAAGATGCCTAGATGGTTGTTTTACAAAATATATGTTCAGGCGCGGATCCAGGATTTTGAGTTAGGGGGGCGCCAAAATTAGGCAAGGGGTCTAGGGGCCGCCTTAACCAAGTACCTAGAGGCCCCCAGTTGGTCCAGGGCAAAGCCCTGGTGGGGGCCCAGGAAAGCCCCCGGAAGCTCCTGGATTCTAGAGATTTTGAAGGGTTAAAATGAGGTCTACCAAAGCCCTGGTGGGGGCCCAGGGGGCAAGCCCCCGGAAGCTCCTGGATTCTAGAGATTTTGAAGGGTTAAAATGAGGTCTACCAAAGCCCTGGTGGGTTTGGCCCAACAAGCCCCCGGAAGCTCCTGGATTCTAGAGATTTTGAAGGGTAAAAATGAGTTCTACCAAGTAGACATATTTGATTTACGCTAACTTTGACAATTTTAGGGGGGGGGGCGCGCGCCGGGTGCGCCCCCCCTTAAATCCGCCACTGATGTTTATCTACTGGTATGCAAAGAGACACTTTTTTACATAATACATATTAATAGACTAAGAACCAAGTACCTGAGGATGAAATTTAGAGATATCAAAATTGCAGTTATCAAGCTCAAATGTCCATTCAAAACAACAGGAAATCGGGAGCTGATTTAGTGATACACAAATGTCTATTTTGGTAATGACCGACCAAAATAAATCTTTCCCCAATCGCAGTAGAGAGGTCAATAAATCAATAAATTAAATAAATAAATAAATTATTCTTGGTTTTATATAAATAAAAATAAAGCCCCCCCCCCAAAAAAATTAAAAAACAAGATGTGTTTGTGAAACACTATGCATCCGGCGACAACAAAGTTCGAAAAAAGTTATTTTAGCATGAATTAATGTCAGTCAAGGTCACAGTTAAAGTCATTTAAAAGAACTTCATGAATTAATGGAGTATGCATACCAAATATGAAGTATCTATCTCCAGTGCTTCAAAAGTTAGATCAATGGTTCGAAAAAGCTATTTTTAGCAAATAGACCACAGTCAAGGTTACAAGGTCATTGACCTTGGTGTCGTTTGAAAGAGCTTAATTAGTGGAGTATGCATACCAAATATGAATTAGTCTCTATCTCCCATGGTTCAAAGGTACGTTATGGTGAATGTTAAAGTTGACAATAGACACTAACAGACAGATAAGCAGACAGGCAAATAGAGAGACAGACAGGCCAAAAACAATATGCGCTCCTGATCTATCGACTTGGCCTAAAAAATGGAGCGGGAAAAAAAACCAAGATGTGTTTGTGAAACACTGATGCCCCCTTATGATACATGTAGCTTATGGCGAGGGTTGAATATTCTCAAATGCATATCAAAGTCAATCCATGGGTCAAGGTCAAAAGTGTTTGTACCAAAAGGAAGGTCTTGTTACAAGGAATACACCTATGGAATATGAAAGTCCTAGTTCTAAGGTCAAAAATATTTATACCAGCTGAAAGGTCTTGTCACAGTAAATACGCATGTGAAGTATGAAAGCCCTAGCTCCAACTGTTCAAAAGTTATGACCAAGGTTCAAGTGTGGTAATTTTTAAGTAGGTCAAACTCCAAAGTCAAGGTCAAGAGATCAAATTTGGGTGTACAACAAGAAAGGTTTTGTCACAATTAAGGAATACACCTGTGAAATATGAAAGACATAGCCTCATAGTACACTCAATACTTATGGGCTAGGTTAAGAGGGCTGGGGGTTACGGCCATTTTTAGACTGTATTGATCTCCTTCAGAAGAAAAGGTCCATATGAAGATATTCAAAACTGACCAAATTTTAAAACTAAAATATATAAAATTTTCTTTGCCAGATAATAATTGACAGCTTAAGATATTACATCTGATAAATCAAGTTATATCTGATGGTTAATTTGTTGACCCTACTCCCGCCTCCTCAAAGTTGACAACAGACAGACAGACAAACAGACAGATAGACAGTACAAAAACAATAAACCCCCGGGATCTTTCGACCCAGATGCATAAAGGGAGTTGGAAGGTGCAGATCATCTTTCCAACCTAGATACGAAATAAGGTTTAAAAATTTGCTCTCGAAGTTGTCCTGGTGCGAGTTATCAAAACTCTTCAAAGCAACTCTCCTGTAGAAGAGGTAGAAAAGGTACATTTTCCTTAGCGACAATCTCCACAATGATGGCAGAGGAAGAAACCGAGAAGTTTTACCTTCAAAGTAATCTTTTAGTGATTTTTTAATTTATACCATACAATTTTTCCTTCTTTTTGTTTTTATTCTAGCTACTTTTATCACAAATGAATCTTCAATCATGATCACAAATGATTAACACAACAATACAATCACAAATTCGAACAACATTAAAAAGATGGAACTTATTCACTAGATTCAAGAAAAAAAATACTGATTTTCAGATGAAAAAAAATGCTTATTGTATATGGGAAAGAATTTTTAGAAAGCTTCAAAGAAAAGTATGCCTACACGTATTTCAGCTCGAATTTCCTTAGTTGGAATAATCTACTGTGAATCAATTTCCTCTGCTCTTACTTGTTGTTTTTCTCCACCTAAACATTTTACTCGATGTAATTACATGTCAGCAAAAGTGATTTACTCACTGGGGGTTTAGATTAACTGACTCATGAACACTTCACTTAAATAAAGAATAAATGGCTGATCAATTAGACAGAATTTTCTGTTGTTAAAATGATAGGTAACCAATGGATGGTTAATGTAGCAAAGCAATAACTCTAACTCAGTGCATTTACTATGAAAAATCCAGGGAATTCTGAATGTCAATATATCAGTACAAATCACCAAATGACATCTAAATTTGAAGTGAATAAAAACCTTGAGAACAAACTTTTAATTCTTCCATATTATGGTTTAAATTTTTGGGTAAAATGTAGCCATAATCTCAGAAAGGGTTAGGATGGTTAATTTAATTGTTATTTTCAATGCTACATCACATATTTTTTACCAAATCATTTCGGGGTGATTCTGCAATTTTTTTTTTCTGCTGCTACATTGATGGGTGGCACAATGGCACATAAATATGGGAAGCATGTTGCTATCTGTGCTGAGGGTCTGTTCTGAGTAATAAATTATTATCTTACTAGAAGAAGAAATATGAAAATATCCCAAGTTATTCAAGATACCGAAATTCAGGTGTTTGTATCAATGGCACACTCATAGTAAAATCTGTTGTTTTTTTTAAAGTTGAAATGGACGTCCTCAGTATCACATTATCTGGCTATTTCTGAATTTATTTTTTTTTTTGATTCACAGAGGAACAGATCGTTGTAGACTCTGATGAGGAGTACCAGTATGAAGAGGTCCCCATAGATGAAATATTTATTGGGACAGGTAAGATAAATGAACTAAGAGGTCCCCATTGATGAAATATTTATTGGTACAGGTAAGAGGAATGAACTAAGAGGTCCCCATTGATGAAAAATTTATTGGGACAGGTAAGATGAATGAACTAGGAGGTCCCCATTGATGAAATTTTTATTGGTACAGGTAAGATGAATGAACTAAGAGGTGCCCATTGATGAAATATTTATTGGGACAGGTAAGATAAATGAACTAGGAGGTCCCCATTGATGAAATATTTATTGGGACTGGTAAGACTGAATATAATCAACAGTTCTCCTGCTGTATTTGGTCATATATCGCAGGGATATTTTATTAAAAAGAATAAATCTGTAATGACAGTAATGTGCTAGTAATTGAAGAATATATATGATATGGTATAAATTTGTAACACTGAATTTTATAAAATGTATATTTTTTCAATGAAAGTGCTAATTGAAGAAATTGCTTTGCTGTAGAAGGAGAAGAGGACCTTGATGTCGCCGTGAGGACCATCAGAGAAGCAGAGGAGGATGCCTTGGCAACGGTAAGTTACCATGACGACAGGGAGACACAAAATTTGTTGATCATTGACGGATTTATTCCAAAATATTTAGTTTTTGTATGGTATATATTATGATTTAAAGCATGCTGTGAAAATATGACAGAGAAAATAATGCATGAATAGACTTCCTTCCTTTGATGTAGAATTTAGAATTGCATGCCTTTTATATTGTTCCTTTTAGACTCGCACAGTGATCAGTTTTAGGTCAGATGAGGTTAGTTTCTCACTTCAAGTTTGCTAGTCCTGATTTAGTCACAACTTTCTTGTTTTCTGTCACATGTAATCTAAGTCTTTTTTTTCTAGGCTATATATTCAAGAAGGAAAATTGCAAATTATGCTTACATGTAATTCTACTCTGCACTGCTTAATACAACACTGTATTCAAAATACATGTATATTTTAAATATTTCCAAAAATATTCAAAGCATTGAAGATGTTTTCAAATTCTTATGAGCTTTGCATCATTTATAGTTACAATATATGATGATTCGGTTAAATGCATAATAAAAAATCAGCTTTGATTTTTAAAGAAAAAACTTTATTGCTTAAATTATTCTCTATAGCATTGTCAATTTGCTAATTTTGTGCAAATTAAGCTTTTTGGGAAAGTGTTTATTTGTCCTTTATCAGGTATTTATTTATTGCTACAGTCCAGAAATTCATTTTTGCACTTTCTTACTTATCAGTTTGGTCATGAAGTATTCTCAACTCTCACTTATAAAAGTATTATTTTTAATTTGTTTTTAATGGTCATAATTTTGCATCTCTCTTTCACTGTTTTAGGCTGCTATTTTTATTTTTTATAAATTATTTTGTAGTCTCAAAAAGAGCCTAAGGCCTCCGTGACCCAGCGACCCGAGGTTGTGGATGATTTCGTGCGTAATTTCCTCGTACGAATGAATATGGACAAGACTTTGGAATGTTTTCAAACAGAATGGTAAATGAATATACAATGTCAGAAATTAAAAATTTACTAATAAGTTATACCGTATGCAGTTTATTTTCATTGTTTTCATGGGGAAATAAATCCACCAAAATACCT